CACGCGAAAGAAGTCGCGGGCGAAAGCAATTCTATATAGCTTATTAACGCAGCCCTGTCGTACTGACGCTTTTGTAATGCCTTGTCTCCCCTGTCATCTTCTATGCATATTTTACATGTTTTCTGAAAGAACTAATTGATAACAACGTATATCTCACTGTGCCAGACTGTTTCGTCGCACTGTACGCTTTTCGACGAATTCTATTTCTTCTTAAAATTAAATTGTTTTATCACTACTTAGACAACTAAGACATTTTAGTAAACAAACAATAATATATTAGTTAATATTTAAAAAAAAACATAATCCTGTGGGTAACACTATAACCTATATTAACTACAGGACGGGTAAAATGTAATCTAACAAGTATATATATAGACCTAGGTATACTAATGTTATAAAGAGGAAAGAATTGCATTTTTGTATGTATTCAAATAACTCAAAAACTACTCAGCCTATTTTAAAAAATCTTTCACCATTAGAAAGGTAATTTATCTGTGAGCAACATAAGCTATGTCTTTTATTATTTTTTTTTACGGGGACGAAATCGCGAGCAACGGCTAGTGATTGATAAAATCTAGTAATTGACAGTCCTATCTCAATTGCCTTTTGATTCTAAAATTACAACAATCATTACCAAACACTGATGGTAGAGATGACCTAGTTTCATAACAGAACTGTAGCATACATAATTTTTCATCATTTGACATTAAAATCTATCCGCGATGACAGTCAGTGGTAAAACACTCTGTAGTGTTATACAATCATTTCCCGTACTATTGATACTCGCACAGAACGCTAACAAATGTCTCAGAACACCCTTTATATACAAACCTCCAAGCCCAACTCATCCTCCAGAATATTACGAAGCATACGACGCGTTGATACAAACTCTCTTCAACAGCTGCCACACACAATACAGCTACGGAAGAAAATATTCAGATGATTACATAAAACCGTGTAATCCCGGACATTATCCGTCACCCGGTTATGCTGAACACAGTCACGGATATCCTGGATATCCCGGGTATGAGCATACACCCGGATATGTTTATAAAAGTATGCATGTGGTTAACGCCAGCTCAAACCCTGAATACAAATACGCTCAGAACCATGTCACTAATGTTAAACAAAAGTATAAAATCGTTATTCGGAAACCAGCAAGAGGGTCGAGAAGATCACAGAAGATGCGATGTAAGTAGATATTTTATCTTTACTTCTAAACTATTATAATAAAGCGTAACTACTTCGTGGCGTAAAATGTCAGCAGCATATTTTTGAATAATCCTGTGTTTAATAAAAAGCCCTTACTTACATCACGCTTCAGGCTATGTATTTTCACGCAATTAAACTTATGGGGTAAATATTTTGGATAAAAACACTAATGTAAGAAAGAGACCATAAGTTACTGCCAACATCACTAAAGAAATATTGCTAAGGTTTATCATGTCATGTCATTTTGACATTTTCTATTGACAATCAGACAAATGTAAAGAATAAAATAAAATTTTCATTATTTTATGCGGATGAAGCCGCACGGGAACAGCTAGTACCATAATAAAGCGTACACACACTACTTCGTGGCGTAAGATGTCAGCAAACACAGCATATTTTTGAACAATCCTTTGTTTAATAAAAAGCCTACGACACGCTTTAGGCACTTTTCACGCTATTAAACATAAGGGCTAAATACATTGAAAGGACCTTCATGCGGGAAAGAGACCATAAACTACAAGCTGCCAACATTAAGGAAGCAAAGTTATTATGATAACGGTAATTGTCATATTTGAGAATTTGACAAATGTAAACAATAAAATAAAGTTTTAATATTTTCTTGCGGATGAAGCCGCACGGGAACAGCTCGTTTATATAATATGTTTATATATAATAGTGGTCTTATTTTGAGGATTTGAAGCACTGGACTAGGCGTTAGATAAATGAGACAGTGAAAACGCACCTTATTCGTCAGGCGCCTTGCTACCACTTTCCTGTCCTGTTTATAATCATATTCAATATTACACACTCGTTCTACGAAGGTTCTACACAATGTTTAGATTAATTAATCATAATTTTAATTACTCGACTTAGAAGCGGATAATATAACAGGATGTGAAAACAGCCTTGGGAAGGATATCGCAATAAATTTACTATGCAATTATTTAAAAAAAAATATATGCAAAATATCATATACTTGTGATAGGAGCCCAGTAGAAATATTTCGGATAGCTGAATATCAAGAGCACATGAAAACGATTTGCATGTTTTCGTAGATGTATGAATGTAAAAGGAAGCAGTCAGGTCCGCGTAAGTCTTTCGTCTCTACCTACCCCACTAAGTTAAATTTAATTAGATACCAGTACAGCCGAAAGGATTTAAATTAAGAATACATGCAGATTGCGATATAATTATTAATTTTTCCTTGAAGAGTAAGTAACGAGCCACAGATATTCAATAAATTGTAAGGACATAGAATGGTACTATCATTTCAACTTAACGTATCATTGAGTGCCCATTCTAAGTGACTCAATACATCCTTATACCCGGGCATTGACCTACATTGTGATATAACCCCGCCTTAAAGCACTACTTTCAATTATTTAATTATTTAAGAAGTCTGAGGAGATTTTTGACAAAACAAATCTTATCTTTCTTCTTACTAATACAAAAGTTCAGATGGATAAATGTTTGTTAGAGTTTGTAGCCCAAACGACTGAACTGACAGACTTTCTGCCCCGCACATTCTTGTTGTGGAACGGTCTGTCCTCGGCGGTATTTCCAAACCAATACGACTAAGGGTCCTTCAAGAAGCGAGCCTATCATTTCCTCAAAGGCCGGTAACGCATCTGTAGTTCCTCTGATGTCCATGGGCGTCGCTGACCACCTCGATGTTCTCGCCGCTCGTTTGCCCCCTTTATTATAAAAAAAAAGACTTCGTTGACATTTGGTACAGATGTGGAGGATACTCTGGAAGAACACACAGGCTAAATATTTTTTATTTAATTCTACGGAGGGAGTCGCGTGCGAAAGCTAGTATATTAATAAATATATCGTTATGTTATAACTTAACTACTACGATTCCCCGATGATAAGGTACAATTAGACGACTGTCAAATTTACCAAAGCGTGTTTATTAGCCTAATTCTAAAAAAAGCATTTAGTCGTTTGAACTTAATACGCGGAATAACGCATCCACCAATTGCATAACATTATGCCAATCTATACTTCTATACTATTATAATAAAGCGTAAACACGCTCTTCTTTGTTGCCTAAGATGTCAGCAATTACAGCACATTTTTTAATAATTCTTTTTTAATTAAAAGCCCTACACTTACGTCACGCTTTAGGCTATATATTTTTACGCAATTAAACTTTGGGAGTAAATGTTTTGGATAAAAACGCTAATGTGGGAAAGAGACCATAAGTTGCTGCCAACATCAAGGAAGCAAAATTGCTAAGGTTTGTCATGTGAAATTTGCAATTGATAATTTGATAATTGTAAACAATAAAATAACATTTTCATAATTTTATACGGATGAAGCCGCACGGGAACAGCTAGTAGTTTTATAATGGTTCAGTCAACACGATACGATTTTCTTAATAACGTAGTATAGTGAACATAATTGTTCCATTGTACGCATAAATAGGAAGTGAATTCCCAAGTAGGTAAGTTACATATTTTTAATTAATTCAGCTGTGATTAAGACATCAATTATAATCAGACCAAAGTATCAATATCTACATTATTTATTATTTATTAATTGAAGCATTGTCGTGAAAAAAATACTATGAACCAGTTTTTTTTTAATTCCACACTTTGTTACTATTTATAATCTATGATCTTTTAATTCTTTGTGGCGGGAAAAGAGCCCCAAAAGAGTTACAGTTTTCTTTTAATGCTACTAAATTAAGTAAAAAAAAATGCTAGTTTTCTTATTGCATTAATCTTATTTTTTTTGCGCAATGTTTATTGCATCTTATGTTTACAAAACTATGAATTTAAAAATCCAACTAAATTGTATTGTTAAAAACTTTTTTATTACGTCTGTATTTCATTTCATGTCTAATTTATGTTTAACTAGCTGTTGCCCGCGAGTTCGTCCGCGTGGTATTAGAAAACATACGAACTTTCTAAATAACAAAAAGCTACGTATCCCTCGAGAACCGGACACTTCTCGGGGCTGAACGTTGTCCCATGTGTACTCCTGACTTTGTTTTATATCTGTGCCAAATTTCAATAAGATATGTTGAACCGTTGCAGGTTTATCGAGTAAACATTAAAAAACTAAATTAATGAATCCCACGGGAACTGTAACTATTCCTGGGATAAAAAGTGGCCTATGTGTTCTTCCAGACTATGCTCTAAACCTGTCCCAAATTTCATGGGGATCCGTTAAGCCGTTTAGGCTACAAACGCTAACAAACATCCATCCATCGTAACTTTCGCATTTATAATATTTATATGACATGATATACATAAATTACATACACGTGGTATTCGGTATTAATCGAACACTCGCAGGAAATCCCATGACACTCGCAAGCGACAATGACATACCGTAAATTAATTCTCGATTAGTTTTCGGAAGTCCGTCCCTGGTAGCCGGATGGAAATTATTCACTAGTGAGAAATCACTACATACAATAAATTACTCTTGTCTGTCTGAACGTTGTAAAAGTAGATTAAATACAAGTCTATTTTTATTAACTGGATTTTATTTTATTTTTTCTTTATATTTTTTTTTACAAATCTTATATAAAAAAAATATTAATCAACAGTAAATACTTAATTTTAGAGTTAAAAAAGTTATTTAAAAAAGATTAAGCGTTACTAACAACGAAACATTATAATCGTGGCCGAAATTATTGCAGCTTTTGTTTTTGTAACTTCTGTAATTAAAAAAATAAAAATAAAACGCAATAAGGCAATACCGTATGCGGCCAGTAGTATCGAATGACGTTTCGATTCACCTCGGACGCAGCTTTATAATCATATGTTGGTCAAGATCGCGGCGACTTGACCGGTGGACGCGAGCGCGGCTTTCGGCCGTTATTTCTCACCTTAGCCTTCAGTCTTAGTTAATTCGTGTTAGTGTAGTGTTATTTTAGCAATGGCTAAAGACGTGTTTGTTCTCGTGTGTGTTGCACTGTGTTCGCAGCTTGCGTTATGTCAGTTTGGTGAGTAAAGGCGGGAAAAGATGTATTTTATCTGTGCCGTAACAGTTTTGGCGGCAAAAGTTTTACTACTATTTTAACTAAAATTGTTAAATATTTATGTTAGGTTAATAAAATAAGTTATATTGTAACTGTAGTTTATTGTTCCGTAGTTTTTGAAAAAATAATTCGTTTAAAAATTGTCAAAAAAAAGAGCTATTCGGCTTATCTTTATTATGTTAATATAATTCATATATTTAAATTCAATCTTGTAACGCATTAAAATTCATAATTTACATAATCATTCATCGAATAAAAACTTAATCAGGAAATCATCAATATTTTGTCGTTTGGTTTTTTTTCGTAAAATATCACAAATAATCTATTTTTTTAATATTCGAAATATAGTTTTAATACTTAATTCATAAACTAAAGCACATGAAAATAATTCATACTATATATCGATATCTGATTAATACAAATAAGGTTCTTCTGTGACAAAAACTTGTGAATTATATTTGCGTTGGCAGAAATAGGAAATGTATTGCATTTGATTAATTCAACGAGTGTAAATAAATTAATGTTATTAATTTATGAATTTATTAATATAATTAAAATGTAAATACCTCCCACAAGATGAAGTGACAAATCAAGGTTATTAAATGGACTGGACTAATTTTTGTGATGTAGTTGTCCAGTAACAGGATATAAAATAAAAAATAAAAATGTATTGTAGTCTATGGTCTAAAGACTAGGGATAGTTATTGATTGTTTTAGATCATAGTGAATCGGATTTTTATTAAAATATAAGCTTAAATGCTAACATAGAAAGACAGAATAAATTAAAAATCGTTAGATGAATGTTTTTTTTAATTTTGATAGACTCTTAGTAATAAAATCCAGAATTATCGCTAAACGATTCTTCTTCATAGTTCTTGTTTTTGCGAGTTTTAAATCGATTTTTTTTTAACAAACTGTTGTCGACAATTCGCCATTTGATATCAAGTATCGCCTTTGACTTCCTGATTACTCGCTCAAAGCAGTAGGTCAATGTCTTTAACAAACTAAAACATACAATGTACAACAAAAGAATTAACTTATGTTTAATTATAAAAAAACTCTTGAAACCTTAATTTCTACTTAATTTTCCAAAAAGAAACATTCAGATTACTCTAAAAGACTAGCCTTATGTAATTTAGCGTAAAAATTAAAAAGAACCTCCAACTTATTCAATAATATCTCACTCGTTAGTTGTTACTATAGAAAAAAGAATAATTAAAAATATGGAAAAAATTCTATGCAACAAGTTATTTCGATCTATACACTGAAATGTCTAAGTTACGTCCTTTTTTCAATCCAAAATACGTCATTGATAAGTAACTTTACTGGTTTTGTGTAAACTACGATATCGGTGTAGAACGTAACGAATTAAAACAAGCCTAACTATATTGAAGTAATTTATAAAGTATTCGTTTATTTGAAACATAAAAACGTATTTTATTAAACGACAAAAGCGTGGAACTTAATTTTTTAAGTATTTAAATAGTCTATAGCAGTGATTCTCAACCTTTTTTTGTTGCGGCACATATTTAACGATTTCAAAATTTGTCGGCACACAGAGAAAAAGATTTTTTTATAATATAAGGTGGCAAACGAACAAGCGGCTACCTGAATCCACCGAAATGGAAAGCGACTGCTGCCCATAAACATCCGCAATTGCAGATGCGTTGCCTACTCTTAGTTGACGAATAAAGAGACGCACATAAAGAGGACATTTCCCCTTCCTATGATTTTCCTCCACCTAATAAAAGTTTTTACTTACTATAACACACTGCATAGATAGTTTATGACAAAAAGATGCAAAATTTGGCGGCACACTTTTGAAATTTGGCGGCACACAAAAGTGCTGGGGCCAGTGGTTGAGAATCACTGCTCTATAGCATACCTAACTAACTAATGTTTGTTAGAGTTTGTAGCCTAAACGGCTGAACGGATTTCGGTGAAATTTGGTACAGATGTAGAGGATAGTCTGGAAGAACACATAGGCTACTCACTTTCGTTATTTCTAATTCTACGCGAACGGAGTCGCGGGCGAAAGCTAGTGTAAAATAATATAGTTAACAATCGATTAAACGTTCTGATTTTCGAAATAATAATAAATGTTTGTGTGTTCATATTTTAATTACGATCGTAGGATTTTTCCCTCAACGTGAAGATCGTCGCTTCAATGTATTCGGTGCTGTTCAGAATATTCTAGAAAATCCACGCAGAACACTACAAGCGGTGTTAAACTTCGGACCCGATAGAAATCAGAACAGACCAGGTATAAATGGTCAATATTACGATCAACGACCTAACTATCCAAACTTCAACCCTAATGAATATTATTATAATATCAGATATCCTAACAGAGATTTTAATAATGGAAGAGATATCGTATTTGAACCAACCAATAATCCGTTCCAAAATTATCCAAATGAATATTTGAACACAAGACCTAATGAAGAATACGTAAATGAATATTTTGGAAACAACAAAAATGATATATCGATCCCTTCCGCAGATACAAACGGACAAAACAATTTCAGCAACAATAACGTACCTAATTCACCGTTTGATTCAGAAGGAAATAGTGGATTACCAACGCCATCTAGTGTCGAAGAGAATATAACACCTGTACCTCAACAAGAATCAAATAACAATGGTATCCCAGTTGTCCCACCAACAGGTCTTGAGACTAACGGAATACCGACAGTCCCACCACCTGGTGTCGAAGTAAATAGTATAACACCTGAATTTGGATCTGGAAATGGGAACAATGGTATCCCAGATGTCCCACCAACAGGTCTTGAGACTAACGGAATACCGACAGTCCTGCCACCTGGTGTTGAAGAGAATAATCTAACACCTGTACCTCAAATTGGATCTGGAAATGTTAATGGAATCCCAGATGTCCCACCAGCAGGTCTTGAAAACGGAATACCAACTTCACCTCCAATAGGATTCAATGATAGGAACTCGGGTAATTCCGACTCATCTGTAACTGAGGGTTTGACGACACTAGCGCCATTAACTCCCGTGCCTAATACGGGACCAAGGAACAACTTTAATTTCGGATCTGAAGGATTATTCTGTAATTAACGTTTTTTTTATTATTCTGGGTTAATGTTTCACTAACTTGTAGCGGTAACATATTGTAATTTTGTATAATAGGGGAAAAGGAAACACTGATACTTGAAATCTATAAAAAATAATCTAGATTTAGTATATAAAATTATTAATTGTTTGTATCTAACATTATTCTAATATTTTTATGTTATGGAATGTTCTAACTTATTTACTTACTACAATAATTCAAAACCAACAAATTATTTATGTTACAATAATAATTGAAATGTATAAATATTATTTCAATCTATTTTTATTGGTGATTCGGACTCGATTTTCAACTCCACTTAGCTAGCTTTTATATTATTTTAGCATAATATTTCCGTCTTAATGGAACATTAAGATTAATCTTCTATAAATTTAGATAAATGTGATCGAAACACAGTATTATCCATTGTAACTGCGTAAACATAAGTAAAGGTGTGGCGAATAATGGCAGACACTTAGTTTGAAGTAATTTTATCGTTTATCTCAAACCTATGTTAAACCGCTAACTATCGCTTATATTGTTACATAGAAACCATAGAAGTATTTTATTTCTGTCTGACGCAATCTATTTAAAATTACATAAACATTTTTCATCTTCAATTAGCAATTAAAAACTCATTTGTACTGTTTATTGACATATCATAGGAAAATTTACAAGTTATATTTACTTCGTATTAAACGCAACAACAAGAATCTTCAGATTAATATGTTTAATATCAATATTGAATAATGTAACGAACAAAAAACTAACTACTAGAAGACGTACGCGTTTTCGCCAATAACGAATTTAGCAAATATTCGATCAACTTAATTTTAAGTACATTCTTACTTAATTTTAACAGTGGTAGAGCCCGCTTTAACATCTTCGCACGATTGGCCCGGTGTAATACCACGACCACACAGACAACAGGCGTGAAGTGGAAGCAATTCCGCGTTTAGTCTGATGAGTGTGGTGCCGGAGGCCTAATTTTAGTCCTTTTCCCTTTCCACCCTTTTCTTAAGAGGAAAGGATGGAAAGGAAAAGGGGATTTGATGGTGGGGGAGAACATAGGAAGGGGAAATGTCCTCTTTATGTGCGTCACCTCCTTCGTCAATTTAAGGGTAGGCAACCCATCTGCAATTGCGGGTGTTTATGGGCAGCGGTCGCTTTCCATTACGGTGGATTCAGGTGGCCGCTTGCTCGTTTGCCACCTTATATTATAAAAAAAAAACATTCAAAAACATATTGTGAATACAATCATTAGAACATAATTTAAAGATTTAGAATTTAGACACACATAAAATAAAATAATTTATAACTTTACACACAAGAGAAAGGTTAAAAGAAATCTCTACTTGGATGGTGTATGACTTTGTAAGAAAGAAAACAACCATGTAATCATATCAAATATTCTAGTGGTCTTTACGCTAAAGGACATATAGTTACATAGGTACTGGCAACCATTATCCTGTCGCTGGAGCAATAAACAAAGTTAAGGTCATGACAGTAAGACTTCAAGTGTGAACAAGCGCTTACCATCGTCCAATCGATAGATTATTCCCAACCGTCACCCCACTCTGTCCCCATCTGGGAATACATAATAAAAAGTTTCATCCGTCCCACTTTTAGCGAAGAGGGAACGGTTGGAACTTATAACGGTTCCATCTGTCACCTTGGTGATAATGGACTAAAAGGTGGGACGGATGAAACATCATTCTCACGTTGGGACAGAGCGGGGTGACAGTTTGGAATAATCCTAATCGATAAGATTGTAGTTTAGCTAGTTCAACAATTTACATTTCATAATATAAAAAACATTAGAAAACCGGAAAAAAGATCAATCGCCTTGTATCGATGCAGTAAAACGAATAGACAATGAATTACGTTTTTTAACCACCAAGGTCGTGCTAAGTACTTGAGATGAACAAACACGGCTGCCTCGCACGCGTTGTGTAATTATTTGTGTATTTGATTTCACTATATTGGCAGCTAAATGACAGAGAACGTATTCAGTTAGTTGCAAAATCATTTAGATAAAATAAGTTTATTTTTCGAATAGAAAACCACAAAAAATACAGCCGTAGGATAAAATCTTATGTTTCTAAACGACTCGCCTATACTCCTTATTAGAAATATACAGATAATAAAAACGGTAAACCCGTTTCCCTCAATTTATCGGAAGTTTCGTAATTTCTTCATTCATATTCTAGTTTTAAAAAACTGCAATAAGCAATATCTAACGTACAAGGATGACACTGATTGCTATAATGATTTTGCATAAAGATTATTGCAATTTACAAGCATTCACTAATTGTTTTTGTATTAGGTACTTCATTAAGTAACTATATAAAGTCGCTTCCGGTTGTCCGTCTGTGTGCTCAGATCTTTCTACAACTAGACTACATGTATAATATAATAGAGATGTACTGATAATTTTAGATATATCTAATGTTATGTTGTAAAAATAAACACAATTTTTATATCGGCAGAACCGTGGTGTTGCGGATGTCTATGGGCGTCATTGACCATCTCTGTGTTCCCGCCGCTAGTTTGCACCCTTCTCTTATAAAAAAACCATGCGAAGTCGGGGCATCTCAGTAGAATATAAATTAGACAAAGCTTTATTCTTATTCTTTAATCGTATAATTATTCTGCTACACTATTAAATAATTAAATGACCTTGTATTCATTGTGAACTCTGTTTACCCCATCTCGATTACTATATTGCGTAAATAAACTACGCTTTCGCAATATAATGACGAATATTGACTTAACTAAGAGATTTTAAAGTGTTAAATAGAAAATAAACAATCAAGTTTGTCAATCATAAACCAGTCGTAGGGAATCCCCTTTAAGTTACGGTTTTAATTTTCTACCAAAATTAGTAGCTATATTAGAGATTTTTAAATTATCTCTTGAAATATTTCCCATAATAATTTTGCTATGCATTAGTATTGCTAATTATCTTCCCACGTACATAGTTTTTTTTACATATGTAATGCATTTATAAATTGCCCAATGACATTAACGTTAAAATATATCATTATATGTCATTTTTTCATGGCAACACATGCATAATGTGAATCTAGAATCAAGTGCTCGTTTATCACTGATTTTCCTGTCATTAGTTATATTTTCACGTCAAAGCTTTTTATGTAATAACTGTAGTAAATAACATAGTAAATCTAATAATGCTGTGACGTCAGATTTTAAAGAAATTTGCTATTTATTATGTTGATTCATCATCATCATCACCAGCTCACTAAAGGTTCCCACCGAGGGGCTCGGAGCCTGACTTAAGTTAGGGTGACTAGGCCAAAGTCAACCACGCTGGCCCACTGCAGATTGGTTGACTTTACACATATCTTTGAATTTCTTCCCCGATACGTGCAGGTTGCATCACGATGTTTTCCTTCACCGTAAGAACGTCGGGTAAATTATGTACATATGACAATCCGAAAAATAACATTGGTACGGCGGGATTCGAAGCTCCAAGACCTGTAGATTATAAGTCAAGTGCTTAAGCCACCGACGCTTTAATTATGTTGATTGAAGCTACACATTTTAATGCTGCAACCTTATCACTTATTTTAAATCAATTTTCGCACTACATTACACTGTATCGAATCATAGTTTACTAATTTTAGGTGATTGGTGCATGATATTTGTCCAGTATTAACTGATTTTTTGTATAACTGGTGAAGGAGAGCGGACGTATATCTTTAACTAACGCATAACTGTCGATTGTCGATTGTTTCGCAGCCAATTCAACTGTTTAGTTACACGACTAAAATCGAGTAATATAACCTCCATTTACGCTCATAGCAAGCAAAACGAGGTTAAGTTGTGCGATAGTTTAGTCAAAGGTGTTCTTGCGATTTAATAATGTTAAATTAATTATAATTGGAATATTCTAGACAGCAATATCCGTTTTATATTTGCTTTCTTTTTATTCGATTGTGCATGTTCCGTTGTTTAAAATGTAGGCTTACATACACATGGTCGAGGCCAGTAAAATGGGATAGTAGCTGGAATGCTACTGGACAAGTATCAATTACTAGCACAATGTTAACACACTTGCCAGTAAAATGCATGTGTATTTCCGGCCTCTGAGGTAGTATTAGTAGGCCTAGTTTAGTATTCTACCACTACGTGTTTTATATGCATAATGGAGGTTATTGTTATTGTTACTTATTACTTTTTGGGATTATGTTAACGTGTTTTGTTACCAATATGGTAGTTACTTATTGATGCTTACAGTGGAGACATGCCAGACACCACAAGGCGATGAGGGCAGCTGTGTCAACTTGTACCAATGTGAACCGTATCTTAAGTTACTCAAAGACGCTCACAGAACGGTCGAAGCCACACAGCTGTTGAGGAAAGCGCATTGCGGATTCGAGGGCAAAAACCCTAAGGTTTGACGTTTTTAGAATATCTATCGACTAATTATTCTTGAGTAAATACCTTGAATAAATACCTTTGAATAAACTATCGCACAACTGTTAAGTCACGCTTTGATTTTTAGTTATGCAACTAAATAGTTGAATTGGCTGTGAAAATGACAATGGCACAACAGTTGTGCTATAGTTTAGTTGGAGGTGTGCTCCTTCTTTTGTTACTTTGGAACCTATAACCTAACTGATTGTACTCGAAATAGATGTGCTTATCCCATAAGGTAAATGCACCAAATAGGCTAATCTTTAGTTCCTCATTTCCAGGTGTGCTGCTCCCGACCAGGCATCCCTACCGCACTGCCAACGCAAGCTCCAGTTACCGAAGCTACGACTCCAACTACGGAGCCTCCACGACCGTCCGCTAAATCCCTTACTGATGACGACTACGTAGATGCCTTCCCAGATCCTCCAGTATGCGGCACGAGTAGCGCGCAGTTCACTAAAGTTGTGGGAGGTGTTAACGCCAAATTGGGTAAGAAAAGTGGTCAATGGATGATTATGTCTGTGACGACCAGTGTCTTTATGTTCCCATGTTTGTAGGTGACTTCCCCTGGATGGCTCTGCTGGGTTACTTATACCGCGGGGGTCCGAGCGTCGACTGGAAGTGTGGAGGTTCGCTCATCACCTCGCGGCACGTGCTTACCGCCGCGCACTGCATACATGGACTTGACAGCTTGTGAGTGTCATATTTAGTCGCACTAAACTAAACTATCGCACAACAGTTGTGCGATTGTCGATTGTTTCAGCCAATGCAACTGTTTAGCACAACTAAAAATCGAGTAGTGTACCTCCATATAAGGTCATAGGAATCAAAGCGAGACTAAAAAGTTGTGGAATAGTTTGGTCAAAGATATGCGTGCTCTTATCACGTTCAATGCCACCCGCCTAGCGCATTTTAATACCAAATGATCCATTACATGGTTGGATAAAGTGGCAACTAGCTAACGCACAGACAAATTACAATGGCTCGCGGTCTAGGCCATTTGTATGGAGTTCATGATCACTGACAAAGCTAGACTGTTGGATATAAGCTCTTGGAATCAGAAATGTGTAATTATCAACACCGAAAAAACAAAATACTTATTATAACTAGTTTTAAATTAACTCCTGTGCAGATTATTGTTCCATCTTACTAATATACATGCGAAAGTTTTGATGGACGGATGTTTGTTAGAGTTTGTAGCTTGAATGGCTGAACGGATCTCGATGAAAATTGGCATAGTTCAGAATAACCTGGAAGAACACGCTACTTTTGTTTATTTAATTCTACACGGACAGAGTTTTCATATTTAAAAAACATATTGAATTTATTTAGATTGTCAAACGTAAAGATCACACGTAGTTCACATCCTCAAAGATGCAATGATATAGACGAAATTACGTCATTTAATTTAATATTCGATACGTTGGTCTTATCAACATGCATCGTGCACTGTGATTTGTATTTTATTACTAACATATATACTGTTGTCGAATGCTTAAGATCCTAAAAACTGCATTAAAAAACATTTGTACAGAAGGAAAAATAACAAACATGTCTGTTCCTTAATCATAATAAAAATAGGATTTTAATTAAAATAATTATTTCAAGTCGTTAATCTTGTAATAATTATTTGTGTGACAAATGAATATGCTTCCTACGTAATGTTTTTACAACTTACAATTTAAATTACGTAACTATATTTACTTTAAAAACCAGTTTTATTTCTAGTTTGTATATGTTTAATGGCCGGTTTCCCAACTACATTTAACGATGAGTATTTTTGGTTCAGTAACTTTGTTAAATTCGTTTCTGAACTACGCAACTTGTATTTTAAATCACATCACTAGGTAGTCTTACTAATATCATAAATGTGAAAGTTTAAATGAATGGATGTATGGATAGATGGATGGATGTTTATTAGAGTTTGTAGCTTAAACGGCTGAATGGATTTCGATGAAATTCGGTATGGATGTAGAGGATAGTCCGGAAGAACACTTAGGACACTCGCTTTTGATTTTTTTATTCCACGCGGACAGAGTCACGGGCAAAAGTTAGTAATAAAATAAATAGAAACTTCAGCAACACAGCATAAGTAATAACGATTTAAAAGTTTAGTAAACCACAGATGTAACTTAGGTTTAATGCCATCTATCGACCGTTATCATATACTATTTGCAAACCAAAATTTACATATTATTTTTACATCGCACAAAAAAATGACATGCCAGTATCTTGCACAGTTACTTTTAAACAAATTACTCGCACATGACAGCTACCGGTGTGTTTATTACTAACTGGCATGTCAGTACCTTATACGATATTTGATATGACAGCTACTGGTTTGCAAATTAGGGGTCGTGATTTACGGAACTTGACATTGACCTCTGTCTTATACGATCTCGTTGACATTTTACTGACATAAGTATACGGATTGCGCCAGTAGTTGGTATACCTACTACTACATATAACTGGAATTTCTACTTTTATAGTAATTTCACTAAAACTATTTTACGTAATATTTGAATTATTTAAAGGTCATCGTACAATAGACTCGACAATAGTGAATATACCATTGCCCTAATTACCTTGATACATTGCGTTACATCCTTCCGGTTTATCCAAAATTAAAACATTGAAGGTAACTGCTAAAGATCGTAATCAATTATGTTTAACTATTTTTATAAAGCTAAGTATACCGTTCAGAAAAGATTTACCGTTTTAAACGCCATAACATAAGTTATTTTTCTTTTTTGTAGTCAGTTTAGTTTTATTTTTTAATTCTTTGTCATGTAAAACTTTTATTTTTTATTATAATGTTGTGTTAGCCTGTAAGTGTATGCATGATGTTGTGTTTTAGTTATAATTACTTTTTTTCATCATACAGAACTTATTTCATGTGATACGTTGGCTTCCTATTGTAAATAAATAAATAAATAAATAAATAAACATGTCTTAGAGCGGGCACACACATTTGACTAAAATATCGCACTACTATGTGCGATTGTCGATTCACAGCCAATTCAAAACTACAAATCAAGTAGTGTGCGCTTCATATAAGTTTATAGGAATCAAAGAGCGACTAAACAGTTGTGCGATAGTTTAGTTTCAGGTGTGTGCGTTCTTACCGATATAATGCGTATTAAAGGCTGTAACTGTATAAACTTTCAACGTACTAATATTATAAATGTAAAAGTTTAGATGGATGGATGTTTGTTACAGTTTGTAGCCTAACCTGATGAAAGGATCTCAATGAAATTTGGCATACATGTAGAGGATAGTTTGGAAGAACACATAGGCCACTTCTTTTTGTTTTTTTTTTAATACCACGCTGTCAAAGTCAAGGGCGAAAGCTAGTGGATTATAAAAAGTTAAAATATTCAATAATTTAGATTTGTTTTTTGCGTTATACACTATGTTTATATTTCAGTTTACCATATTAATAACATAATGTATGTTTTCCAGATATCTTGTACGTCTGGGCGAGCTGGATTTGGAACGAGAAGATGACGGAGCTGCGCCGATAGATGTCCTTATAAAGAGAAAGATCGAACACGAGGACTACAGTAGAAATTCTCTCACCAACGACATTGGCGTATTAGTTTTGCAACAGGACGTCACATTTACAAGTAATTTCTGTTATCCGTGACTTTGTCTGTATCGAATAAAACATTAGCCCGTTTTTTGACTATATGTTATAAACATCGAAATCCGTTCATTTGTTTTGTAAATACGAGATAACATGTTGACACAAACTTTCGTATTAAGATAGGGAATTAATATATTTAAAATCATGCTTGCAACATGTGGATTTAAAAACCAGTAAAAGATATAGTCTATGTTACTAATAACGTAATGATGAAAGAGTTTTTGATGTCGGCCCAGTAGTTATTGATTTATTTTAATACATACAAAGATACAATTCTTATCTCTTTATAATATTAATATAGACAAGGAATTCACGTAGTATTCTTTTCAGAACTTATCCACCCCATCTGTATCCCACTGGCTCCGGAACTGAGGTCTAATTCTTACGTCAACTATAACCCAATGATCGCCGGCTGGGGCAGCGTCTCTTACCGTATGTATACATTTATCTTTCAACTCCGTCTACCCTTTTGTAGCAAAAAGAGCATAAAAAGAAAAAAATCCATGCATATTCCCTATTGCGGATGTCTATGGACAATCGCTTCGTCATTTTGGTATATTGAAGTGGCCGCTTGTGCGTTTTCCACCTTATAATATAAAAAAAATCTCCAGATCGGCATAATAGATATAATTCCACATAGAGGAAGTCCAGGTCAAAGCTAGTATTAAATGAGTGCATTTTAAGCATGATGCTTGTGTGCAGGCGGCCCCAGCGCCAGCCACCTGCAGGCGCTGCAGCTGCCGGTGGTGAGCAACGAGTACTGCGCGCGCGCGTACGCCGCCTACAAGGAGCAGACCATAGACGAGCGCGTGCTGTGCGCCGGCTACGAGCGCGGCGGCCGCGACTCCTGCCAGGGCGACAGCGGCGGCCCGCTCATGCAGCCCGTCGTTAGTACCACTTTGATGCGATTTTAGTGCCTGGACAAGTTGCTAACCTCCGACAGGAGATAGCACTCGAAGAAGAAATGCTTTGAGCGAGGTTTTTACTCCGCCTTTTTACCATGCCTTGGAGAAAGGTTTGCTTTAGGGTGATAGTCGTTCAAATAAGTCCTTATAACGATACTGTTAGCACTTTAAAATTAGGATTTAATCGAAATCTGCAGGTTAATAAACGTTGACTACTTTTAGTCCGCATATGGCCAATTTGACCATAAGTGAAATTGCAAAAAGAACATGCGCAAATGAAATTTGAACATTATTATCGACGTAATTAAGTAATAAAACGGAGACTAAATTTTTATTACGTTGGAATATAAAAAAAAACATTAACTGATCCTTACTTACGGAGATAAAATATAAATCCTAATTTAATTCAAAATTATAGAAAACATTCTGTTGCTCGGATTTCCTCCGCGTGAAATTAATAAATAGTATAAAATATAACCTATGTTACTAAGTGATAGCATAGATTTTTTTGTTAAAAGATTTTATGAAATCGGCCCAGTTTTCGAGTTATTCCAATAATATTAAAAAAAAACATTTATAATATTATAGTTTAAATTTACTTTATACAGTTATTTTGTGTTACATTTCAGTGGAATTCAAAGAACTTCACCACGCCGATGTACCAGATCGGGGTGGTGTCGTACGGCAAGCAGTGCGCGCAGGCGGGCTTCCCCGGCGTCTACACGCGCCTCACGCACTTCATACCCTGGCTGCAGGAGAAAGTGCTCGGGAAACCCTCGTGAAATGAAGTTTTAGACCCTTTTCCACCGAAACGACATGCGAACTTTGCAGCAACCAGTGGAAACGGCCTTAGTAAAATCAGCCGTTAGTGAAAACGAGGTCTTACAACGGTTGTGAATTGTGATAGACATTATTTATACTCTGTTTTTAAGTTTTAATATTAAAAGTAATAAAATGTATTTTAAAATCTCTTTTATAATATCTGGTTTTAATTATGATTTAAAAATTAAACTTACCCTTAAATGCATCAATTTTTTTCTTTTTAAATACCATAAATTGAAACAGATACATTGAACATAGAGTAAGGGGAAAAAAAAGTAATTTTTTTTAGTTTCAAAATAGTCTATTGTTAAAGGAAGAAAAGATTTAGTCTCAAAAATGATAATTTAACATATATTAATAAATCATAGCTCTCTTTAGGCAAATCTATACTTCTATACTATTATAATAAAGCGTAAACACACTCTTCTTTGTTGCCTAAGATCTCAGTAATTACAGCATGTTTTTGAATAATTATTTTTTTTAATAAAATGCCCTACACTTACGTCACGCTTTAGGCTATTATCACGCCATTAAACTTAGGGGGTAAATATTTTAAAAACCTTAATGTGGGAAAGAGGCCTTAAGTTGCTGCCAACATCAAGAAAGCGAGACTGCCACAGTAAGATAATTGGTATTTTGACATTTGCTATTGAGAATTTAACAAATGCAAACAATAATTTTATAATTTCATGCGGATGAAGCCGCATGAGAACAGCTAGTAGTTACTAAAAAATACTCGACAATAAAGACAAATAATAAGCCTTTAGTATTGATCAGGTATATTTATTATTTTTTTAATGTACACGAATAACACTGGTTCATACAAAAACAACCTTATTTCCTTCTCACTTCATAGTGAACTAATTTAAACAATAGCTCTCTAGATACTACAAAACTGTAGCTCAGATGTACTAATTACATTGTAATTGCTTACAGATATGTAAAAACAGTACTAAATGTATATAAAAGTTGCTGTATTGATATAAATTTGTGCTTATTTCATACATTTGATTTGAAACATCCTGTATCTATTAATTGTATAAAAATTGGTAAACTATTGTAAAAAAAGTAGACAAAATTTGCTATAAAAACAGCAATTTTTCTATTGAGATCGTAATGGATAGCCTTTTTAAAAAAAAAGTTAAACTTACATTATACAGGCTGTTGCATTACTAAAAAAAAAAAATTTTTTTTTTGCATTTTTTCTATTTTGTATAAATATGGATATTTATGTTTCTCTTCGGTTTGTGCGAACGTTATTTCACGAGTAAATGATATAAGTTACATTTATTTACGAGCATTAACATAGAAAAATCCTGTTATCATATTACATACGGAAAAAACTTGACAATTCACATAAAACTATTGTATAAAAAAATTCTCACCACTTTAGACGCTTAAATTATTATCTATACCTTTATAAAGAGGAAAGATTTGTATTTTTTTAAATTATTGAAAAAACTCAAAAACTACTGGGTTCGATTTAAAAAAAAATTTCATCATTAAAAAGCTACGTTATCACTGAGTAACATATATGTTTTTTTTTATTTTTTAATATTACGCAGACGAAATCGCGAGCAACAGCTAGTGTATTTTAGTAGACAAAAGTTACTACATCGGGGAGAAAATTTTCTCTTGCATTGAGACTGTACTTGTTTTTAAAAAAAAAACTATTTAATATGATAACAGGATTATTTGCACTACAAGCTAAAATATTGTTATTACAAAAAATCATTGTAAAATCTTATAAAAATCGCGCACAACTAATATTGCTCGAGCAAAAAATGCCTAAAAAACCAATAATATAATATAAAAATATAGTTTATATCTCTTTTTAAATTAAATTACGCATGACTTATTAGTTTTTTACGCAAATTAAAAAAAAATTACGTTTTTTATTTTTCAAAAAATCTTTCACGTCTATTTCTCCTGCATTGATATTTCAATTTCTATAAAATTACTGGATATCTTTTTCCTTCACCTTTCTGACATTTTTCTTAATTTGCGTAGCGTTTAAATTATTACAAAGCTTATAATTAAAAATCAAATAAATAGAATATTGAGTTAATCCCAAACTAGTATTTTCAAAAGCAAAAAATGTTTTTTTTTTTATTCATGCCTCTTTCAATGAGGAAAGTTTTTTAGGTTATTATTTAATAATCGATGTTTTTGCAAGTCAATATTCTTTTTATTTAATAAAATACAACTTAACTAAATATTAACAAACATAAGAATAATGATGTTATTTTTACGAATTAGTATTTGGTTTACATGCATTTAGTTAAATAAATTATGTCGTGCCGGAGCTGCCCATTTTATTTGGCGCCCTTTCCGTTTATTGGCAGTTTCAATTTTTAGCACACTTAAAAAAGTGGTTATTATAAAATGTATCTTAAATTGAGTGTAATGTTTCTCAAATTGAATAAAAAACGATTAAAAAACTGCAATGCTTTTTCAAAATTTACCATTATACATATAGAAAAAAAAAGCGTCAGAGCTCTTAAGTATAGCAACACTGGGTACCATAGACAACAGAATTATACCAACTTGTATAAGAACATTATCTGTACCCTGATTACATTTACACTGTATATAACATGTAATAATGTTACACAACAAAACCTAAAACATTCTTACAAAACTCTACAATATCGTAAAATATATACATCGAAAATAAATAGAAAAATAAATAAAAAAATCTTAAAACCACGCTACGGCGAAACAAAAAATTTCGACACCATTTTATCCTCAATTATTCCAATACAAGTATTAAAAAATCCTGTTGAAACTTGGAACAACAAAAAAATCCATAGACAAGTTTGTTACAAGATATTACAGTTCCTCTTTTTGTTGCTCTTTTGGTTGGGTTTCATATTGATCCGTTCAGTTTCTTGGAAGCGACGGACCAGTCTCACCAGTTCATGGAAAGCTTGGTCTACATTCATGCGAGCTTTGGCACTGCACTCTATGTACGGAACTTTAAGCTGCCGCGACAACGCGTGAGCTTCATCTAACGATACCTTTTGTAAACAATTAAAAAATCACCTAGATTCATATTAACTTATGTAAGAAATGGGAAAGTTTAGATGGATGGTTTGTTACTTTATTCTACTGCTGAACGGATATTGAAGAAATTTTGCATAATAGAAGATATTCTAGAACACATACTTTTGTTTTCTTTGAATGTAGTTGTTTATAATTTAAGGATACTTCCAGTTGAACCTATTAGTCTACCGATAGGCCCAATGGATGTTTTTTTTTCCCATTAGATTGATTTTGTGGATTAGATTTTCCCTATGGGTGTTTGTAACACCTAAATTTACTTGTAAAATCAAAAATACCCCACCCACAAAGATTAAACCGAGAGTAAGTTTATTACCTCATTGAAATATTACTAAAAAAAATCTCTCCTATTTAAAAAAAAAAAAAAAAACTTTACATACCACTCTCTGATGTTCCAAGTCAGCTTTATTCCCGACCATGAGCATTGGGAATTCATCCCGGTCCTTAACGCGCAGGATCTGCTTGTGGAATTTACACAGCTCATCAAAACTGGCATGGTCCGCCACCGAGAAGACCAACAGGAAACCTTCTCCGGAACGCATGTACTGTTCCCGCATAGCACTGAACTCTTCTTGACCCGCAGTATCTAGAACTGTGATTAAGAACATATTAGTACAATCTTTTTAACTGCTAACTGATTGTATCACATTTAAATACCAGCTGTAACCTGAGTCTGTCTGTTGGAATAAAAAAAAAACTTTGTAAACAGGCTGTGTTCTTCCAGACAAGGGTTGTAACGGAACTCCGCTTCCGCATCCGCAAGTGTGGAACTTTCGCTAGGCATATTAACTCCCCACCAACGGTTCCCGCCTTGTCGTGGCGGTGGGGCTTAGTAGCCGCGGTACGTCGAGGGTCTCCGAACCGCGGTGAAGCCAAGAGGAACCATGGCCGGCTTAGCGGGGCAGGTCACGCCGGTCGGCCAACCGGCTGGCATGTCCCGCGACGCCGGTCTAATGGGGAGGTCACGCTCAGGCACCCACTCTGGGCGCGCCTCCTGGGCACCGCTGGCCCATGCGGCCAGCAGTTTTGGGGGATGGAGGCCGCGGGGGCTGTGAGTTGTGCGGGTTTATCCTGCCTTCTTGCAGCCCTCGTGGTCGGAGGAGGTGGGCCGCGGGGGCTGTGGGATGGATATGGTTTCGCCCTGTCCTCTCGCAGCCCTCGTGGTCGGATGAGGGGGCCGCGGGGGCTGTGAGTTGGGTGCCGGTTTATCCCGCCCTTCTTGCAGCTCTCGTGGCCGGAGAGGTGCGGCCGCGGGGGCTGTGGGATGGATATGGTTTAGCCCTGTCCTCTCGCAGCCCTCGTGGTTGGGAGCGTGGGAGCGCGACCTCAGCACCACTCTGCTTTCAGAGATGGGCTTGATAGCGTGTGATCCTGCGCCCCACGCGTAATCCCGGTGGTTCATAACTGCCGGGACCGCGGGCCCTATAGTCTTTCTCAAGACTGGGGCCACGAGGTTTCGCTTTCGCTTTCGTTAACCTCCGCTTCTGCAGAGAAGCCCTTTAAAATGGCCTCCGTTACAACCCTATTCCAGACTATGGTCTACATCTGTGACAGGTATGAGATATGCCCGAGATACCTTTTAACATCTATCTTTTCATCCATGTATCAAAACTTTTGCATTTATAATATTAGTGTGATTAAAAAAGTGCAGAATTAAGGCTGTTTATTCATAGATACCAAAGTTTTCTCTTTACTGTGCAAGTAATAGTTCTATGTGTACAAGTAACCATATTTCTTTTTCTTTAAACACTATCTAAAACATCTGAATTAAAAATAAATGTTTTTTAGGTGGTCCTTTATTCAGTTGCTACGAGTTATTGTGCTTAAAAATAGAATTGTGTATGTTACTTACTGTCCAACTTAGCTGGTACATCATCAATGACACACTGCTTAGTGTAGCTGTCCTCGATGGTCGGGTCATAGTCTGTTACAAAGTAACTCTGAAATATTGTAAACCACAATGTTATTTTTACAAATTATTATTTATATGAGTCACAAGTTGGCAATGGCTCCGATAATTGAGATGTGAAATTAAACGCAAACACTTTTGTTTTATAAAGCCTTATACAATTTGTTAGATCTAATTTTTTTAAAGGAATTTAGAGTTTAAGCTTGCCTTATTATTTAAGATGCAGTTGTATATTTTTTTTTTTTCAATATAACAGTGTTAATTTATAAATTAGAGGCAATATTTTTACCTCTATATTTATTGTTTTTTTTTTATTTTTTCAGTGATTTTCATAAAAAGTCATATTAGATTTTTGTTATAAGAAAAAAATGCTTTTTTGCATTAACACTTTTGTCATAAATAAAACTTTATTTTTTGATTGAATATAAAAACTTGAATGTCGCAGATTTTTATTTGAAATACTACCAAAAATAAACTATTGTATATAATAGGTATGGCTCATGAAAAGAGTATGCAATAGAGAATCTGACCGGTAGAGGGAATACATTTGCAACCACAGAAACTCCTTAAGACCATCAAAGTTCTAACATTATATTTGACACAATTTTGAATATTCCTTGTGTATTAAATTAACATGCTACTCTTACAAAACTATGTGTTTGCATCCTACTTATGCCTAGTACACACTTGGCCAGAACAATTGGACAGTAATTCATGCCAGGCATTGACAGTGTGGACTCACGAACACCAATTAATGTTCTTATAATGCCAGTAACATTACTGAGTGCTACTGACCAAGTGTGAACCAGGCATTCAATTAAAACTGTAATGAAGTGTTTCCTATACATTTTTTTCATCCTCAAGTCTTAGTTTAATTAATTCTTAACACTCGTAAAGAAGTTAAAAACTACAAAACCAATGATGACGCTAGTGGGCGGCGTCTGAATTAAGACCTTGGTTTATTACTATCCTCTATACTATTAATAAGTATGATTGTATCAACACATTAACAGAAACACAAGAAAATACACTTTTACTCGCGTTAAATTAATCAATTTATAAGAGTTATTTCATAAATATTATAACAGATTAGATGTAGGCGTAGTTCGAGCCGAATACGGAGTTTTTCACCTGAATAAATTGTATCGTGATGGCACTTTTTCCTACACCACCGCCGCCGACCACGACCAGCTTGTACGTTTGCGCCTGGTTAGGTCTATCCGGCCGCGACATTTTTTACGTTTAACACTACACTTGCGGATTAATTAACAAAAATATTGGTTCACTTTATCTATTCCGCTACTTGATGACGGCCTCCCGATGATTCAATTGGCACGTTTCGTTTTACGCTCCGTGTTGACAGATACAGTAATTCCACAACTCTGCTCATTCATAACAATAAACTGAAAGTAAGTTTTATCTTTAATTTCTGGTATTAAAAAGTTATAATCCACCAGATGTAGCCCCAAAACTAAATTCCCTCTATTAACTTAAATATTTCAACCCATCACGCCAGCTACTGCTGTAATCACTTAACATCAGATAAGCTGCCTACTCTCCTGTACATAATCTTTGAGAAGAAAAAGAAAAATGAGAAGTAATTAAATTAAACAACATTTATTAAGCAAAATATTTTATTCAGTTTATTGTTAACAATTTATAGACACTCGTCAGGTCCCACAGGACGAAGTTATTTTTTCCCAGCGTCATAACCAGGCATAACAGCGCGGAGGGCAGCGCGTAGTTGTTCATTAACATTTTCCGAAGACGGTGGCTCCTGCAGACCACGTCGGCAGCAGGGGCAGCACTTTGCGTTGCTTTTGAATGCCAGCTTCAAGCACCCTAAACAGAAATTATGACCACAAGGTGTGGTGATGGGGTTAACAGCTACGTCTTGACAAATAATACAGAGGAAGGCCTGCGTGACTTGCTCGATAAAATCTTTCTTGTCACTCTCATTGCATACAGTAAGGCACTCTTTCCATAACTTGCTGTTCAAAGTATCCGCCTCAATAGCCTCCTGCTCTTCCGGTGTCAGTATATCGCTGTTTATTTTCGCGTTTTTGGTATTTGGGCTTTTAACATTAAATATACTTGCTATTTTTTTCTTTGGACTATTCTTTGGATCATCACTTTTTTCGATTTTCTGTTTTTCGTTTAATACTTTACGTTTCTTCTTGGGCGGCGAAACCTTACTTTCAGAATCTGACGAATTATTAGGCTCTCTTTTCTTGGTGTTTTTGTTGCCTTTCGACTTCTTTTCTTTCAATTTCTTTTTTTCTGCTTCGGCTTCTAAATAGCCATCCGGATAAATTATAGAATACTGCTTGGCTTTGGGCTCCCAGGGCGCTGGATTCGGATCGTCTCTACGAAGTAAATACTTCCATACTCTAAATCCGGATAGGCCCTTTTCTGGGTAATACTTTACAACTTTATAGATTCCATCGTATCTGATACCTTCGCTTGGGGCATACTTGGGGAAGTGGCGCAACATCTTGTAAGAACGAACAACTCGAACAGGTTTTCCGTTTCGCCATGCCTCGCCCGCGTCTCCGCCTTTTTCTGACACTTCGCCAGCAGCACAGTTGCGCGCCAGTGCCTTATTTTCGCGTGTGAGAGTTTGATCACATGATTGTTCTGCCGTACGTTTGTTGCCTGAAAGGTCGCGACCGCCACTGCCAGTGTAAGTGAATTCAATACCGTTATCGACGTCGTCTTCGTACCCGCCAGATAATACAATACTGTACGCACCCTCAACATCCCGTCCATGTATACCAGAGACGGGGGGTCGATGTACACCAGTCTCTGAGAGTTGAATTCTAAATCTCCAACACATGCCCACTTCTATGCCAGGTATTGGACCGAAGTGATTAGGTGGCATCGCACATGTTTTAGTTTTTCCAACGCAGGCCATACCTCGTCCCCAATCACGGTTCGAGCGAGCTTGTTTGCGTTGCTGGCGAGCAGCACCAGGTGCTACCACAGATGCCGGATCTCGCGCACAACTGGGACAGTACCAGTCATCATCAGGCAGCTCCTTGAGTGGCGGCTTGAGACACGTCATATGATAACCCATGTCGCACTCGTCGCACAGCACAATTGTTTCTGGATTATTCTTTTTCAAACATACGCAGCACCCACAGTCCTTGCAAGGCATATTATCGTCATCGCGGCATGTCAAACATTTTAATGCGTGTGATCTTTTTTCAGGTTGCGTCTGCATCATAGTGCTATACTGCTTAGTTCTTTCTTTAACAGGTACAACTTCCTCAATGGAAAATATTTTATCGAGCACTCTTACTTTGGTTTCATTTTGAGGTACTGAATCCGCGCCTAAATATAAGGTACCCATCAATTCATGGCCGGAAGCAATTTTTTTTATTTCTTCAACCTTGAAATCATACCAATAGCCTTTTTCTAGTGGTTCATCGGTATTGTAATTAACCATGATTTTCTGACCGATTTTCAGATCCTTTATTTCCAAAACAGTGCGCGCCCGAGGCCTTATTTCTTTTTCTGTACAGAATAAATCTGAATCCTCTTCATCTTCGTCTAATTGTATTTTGTATAAAATAATTTTGTCAGACTGAAGTTTATTAGGTTCAGACGACTTATGCCCATTTTGTTTTTTCGTTTTGGAACGTGGGCTGAAAAATTTAGTAATACTTGTATTCTTGTCTTTCGTTTTATCATTTTTAATTACTGTTGGTTCATCATTATGTTCACTTTCATTATCAGATGCGTCTCCATTGGCACTGGTTTCATGTTTTCCATTGGTAATAAGAGTTTCAGGATCATAGACTATTTTAACTATTTTTCCCTCTAACCATGTACCTTGTTCTTTATCTTTAACATCTACTAAGTCTCCTATTAAATATAATTCGCTTTCTGTGTCTTCATACACTTTTGAATTACTTTTTGACTTATTACTTTGTTCATTTACCTTTTGTGTGTCTGTTTCTGCGCTGCCAGCGGGTTGCAGTTTGATCATAAGCTGTATGACGTCGTTGAGTTTTATGTTGTAGTCATGGAATGTATAACCGTCCTCGAGCAGTTTCCCGCCGTAAAACAACCGTTGTGACTTCGGCTCGATGTCAAACTTATCACTTAATATACGTCGGAATTTTTCTATCTTCGTCAACTTTGAGTCCACAACAACAACACTATCTGGTTTACCGAAAGTTCTTATCCTCACGTGCATTTTTACAGCGATATAAACAACAAAAACAGTGGTTTTAATTTACGAAACACACACAGCAGCTGACAGTACTTTATCGTGTAACAAAAGTGAATAACTACCAACCAACCAATGGCGGTAAAGATCGCTGCCAAAATGGAGGCAAAAATGGCGCCTCCGGTTTGTTTATTATGAGTTGATAAGAATTTTTATAAGTTGAAAACTAGTCTCTGAGGTTATATGCTAAAATTGGTGAGTACTAAGACGATAAAATGCAAACAATAAAGTGAAAAACTTACAAAATTTATGTAATTTTAGAAATAACATTATAACCCCACTTTCGAAATGTCAGTTTAGTAATGTAAACAAAATCTTATCAAGACATGCATAACTTTCCATGTTAATTAAATTTTCCTTATTAAAAATTATAATAATAAGTTTGGCAACAAGCTTGCTTGAATGATCAGGACTTAAAAATGTAAAATAACAATTGCCATTCATGAAGTTAGACCGAATAACGAAAACAAGAAAAGAATACAGAAAAAGTGATAAAAGCTTCTCAATAGCCAGTAACAAGGTACCAATACAGATACAGACTACTAATTTTTATTAAAAAATTGAATAAAAAGAATCATACAGACGACTTCAGTACCTCCTTCTTTTGGGAAGTCGATCAAATATAAATATTATAAAAATGATTTATGCAGATCTTGCTGGATTTACTTAGGCATCCTTTTTATATCTATTCAGTGAATAGTGGGAAGAATGTATTTTACTTATATTTTTGTATTATTGTTTACTATATCAATGGTTTCAGGTTTCCTCGAACAATACTTTTACATGGATGAACAACATAAAGACTGCAGTACATACAGATGAAAGCAAGTGAAGACATATGCCCCATTCTGTGAAGATATAACTTTATGATTTGTTATATGGAAATTTGTCATTGCTCATATTCAGAGGGAATATAGACTTCCCAGAGAAGACTGTGTTTAAGTAATTTTGTATGGTGCAATTACATATTGTTTATTCTAGCAATTTCTGTAACATTGCTTTATGTGAGAGAACCACTGATAGCACAATATAATACTATAAGTAAAGTACATAAGACCTCTATATTTATGTACAGTTTCTAAGAAGAAACATATATAATGTTCTTATTCCTCCATCAAAAATACCAATTCCTGCCATCTACAAAAGATCTAGCTAGTTTATAACATTAGTTACGTAAATGCCAATTAAAATAACTACATGCATTACTATTGTTTTACGAAATTATGAAGTTTCATTTAAAAAATATCCTTTCTCTTTACATTTTTCAGCCAAGATCATCGAATATTTATTATAATACTTAACTGTTGACAACGCCATCTAGTTTGACTGTTTGTCCTAAGCAAAATCATGTTTCTAGTGTAAACTAAAAAATAAGACATTAGAATTTTACACATGGTAAAGAGAAAACGATTTAGGTATTGCAGTAAACTGTATAATGTAAACGTAAAAAACAATGCGTAAAGAATTCCACAAAATATTAAAATAACCTTGTTCTGGATTGGCAACAATAAGGAATGTCAATTGTCAAAATAAGGACAAATTAATTTTATCCAACTGTCAAAAATATCAAATATAAACGACAAAACTTTTAGTATACATAGTGAAATTTTACAGAAATTGACTAAGGTTTCCCTTGAAATGTTTTCTACTAGTTCTCAAAGAAAGTTCTGGACGTTCAGTGATGAAAACGAACTCGGTCGACACCGAGAGAAGCACAATTTGAACTTCATATCAAAACATGGGCAACATATCGACGAATATCAGAGGTACAACTTTTTTTTATCGCCCGAAGAAGAACGACTGCTTCTCCGACAGTATGAACTTCATCTGAAGGAGTTTTGTAAAAGGTTTTCACCGCCAATGCCAAAAGGCGTTACAGGAACAGCGTTTCATTATTTTAAACGTTTTTATTTGTATAATTCTTCAATGGATTACCATCCTAAAGAGATTTTAGCGACTTGTGTATACTTAGCTTGTAAAGTTGAAGAGTTTAATGTATCTATTGGTCAATTTGTGGCAAATATTAAAGGAGACAGAGATAAAGCATCTGATATAATATTAAATAACGAATTACTTTTGATGCAACAATTGAACTATCATCTAACAATACATAATCCTTTTAGACCTGTCGAAGGATTTCTAATCGATATAAAAACAAGATGTAACCTCGCAAACCCAGAACGGTTACGAACTGGTATTGACGAGTTCCTGGAAAAGGTATTTCTGACTGATGCTTGTCTTCTGTATGCACCATCACAAATAGCATTGGCAGCTGTCTTACATGCGGCAAGTAAAGAACAAGAAAACTTGGACAGTTATGTAACAGATATGTTATTCCGTGATGCTGGCCCTGATAAATTAGCAATACTAATTGAGGCAGTTCGTAAAATTCGTTCGATGGTCAAAATGGTTGAAAGTCCAGCGAGAGAACGAGTTAGAGTGATTGAGAAGAAGTTGGACCGTTGTCGGAATCAAGAGAATAATCCGGACAGTGAGATATATAAGAGACGGGTACGAGAGGCTCTGGATGAAGATGACATTCCTCATGGAGCTGGTAGAATGTCCCTAGATACCAGCGGAGTGTCACAGATGTTGTCTCCTTCCGCCTCGTAGACTAAAGGATAAAATATGTAAAATTTCATTGTTGTAACACTGGTATTAAAAATTTTAAAGGTGACTATGATGTTTTTACAAGTATTTCAACAGTGGAAACTGACCTTTACGTTGATTTGAATTGATTATATTTTGATTATCCCTAAATGATTGTTAATAAAATAAAATGTGACACTTATTTTTATTACTTGTTTTATTTTTTATAATCTACTAGCTTAAGGCAGTGACTGTATGGAATGAAAAGAAAACAAAACCAAGTAGGCTACATATTCTTCTAGAATATAATCTATATCTATGCTAAATTTCATTGAGTTCTGTTCAGACATTTAAGCTACATCTCTAACAAATTTCCATCCAAATTTTCGCATTTAAGATTTGCGTTCTACCTTCCTATCCCTTCATTAAATTATCTGTGTACTGTGAATCAGACAAGTGTAAATATATTTGAACTTCACACACAATTTTAAAAATCAAACGAAAAGGATATTATAAATAATATTTTATTGTCAGCTTCCATTATGATCTGCTGTCAAAAAGACTCCTGGAATTGGCGGGATTCTGCTAGTTAGCAGGCTGACAGCTGCCGAGAGCACGCACAAGATGGCGCTGGACGCCGCCATCCACCATATCGTTGGATGATGGAAGATGCAGACGCCATTTTCTGTGTACGCGCATGTTAAATCTAAAAGAAAAAAAAATGTTTTTAGCAATTCGCATCAACATGTAAAAACCAAATCAAACCAAAGAATCTCTTCGATTCCTAAAAAGCTGCAAACTTTCTATTTCCGAACGTGTGTTTTATTATTCCTCGAAAAAAAAATTTGCGCAAGTAAAAGAGAGACAAAAAATTCTGACTGTATAATCCAAAATTACAATGAAAGTATCAGATTCTGATTGATTTTAACAATAAACGTTGCTTACAACTTATTAGCATGTAGAAGAGGTGACCCAAGAGGTGTGCCAGTAAGCCAATGATGGCGCAGGAGACGCCCAGCGCCAGCGGCTTGTCGCGGCGTCGCACCGACCTCAGTACCACCATCCCTTGCATTGTTATTGATGCTCCTATAAATACACATAATTTTTTACTCAAAGACGAAATAATTAGTTGAAACACTAATTCTATAAGTATCCAGAAAAAATACACCATCCTTTAACGCCATCTAGTGATGGATTTGTTCTTATTTTATTCACTCACCAGCGCCTGCCAGAGTGAGAGCGAAGAAGAGGAGATAAAATGAATAAGTGGACTGGCAGCTCGCCACGCTGCAGCTACCGCGTATGGCGCGCTGCATGCCGCATGTGCAGTTCTCGAACAATCTAAAAACATCATTATAATAGAACTAGTAACGCCAAAAAATGTTATTAGTTTTATGGTCCGAAAATTATTTATACTAGCAAGTTGTTTGCGTGAAATTAAATAAATAAAAAACCGCCTATGTTACGTAGTTTTTTAATAGTGAAAGAATTTTTGAAATCGGCAAAGTCGTTTTTAAGTTATTTCAATACATAAAAAAAAATCAATTCTTTCCTATTCTTAGTACAGATTACCGTTGAACATACAAATATCATAGAACAGAAACGAGTTATCTTACACAAATCCATTCAGGTCCTCGTACTGTTCGCAGCCGGCGTCGCACGGCGAGAAGTACGTGGTGTGCGTGTCCACTGCGCACACTGGACTGAAGCCGTAGTTTGCAGTGTTACAACTGTATGAAATAAGTGTGTTTTATACAACATAATGACGCGGAAGCACAAAAGAAAACAAATTATGTTAGCGTCCAGTGGCGGCGTAAGTGTAGGGCGTTGTTTAGCGGCGCTAAACATAAAGGAGCTTCAAAATCAATCAATAACACAATCTCCCATAAGCCTGTTAACCCCCAAGCATGGAAAGAAGGGTAGTGCAGTAGAAATCTTGCTAAAAGCGCTAGTAGCTCTAAACGTGCATAGATGGCGTTAGAATCGCTTGTAGACGAAGACAGTCGTGAAATGGACTGCGTTTCGTTTGACTCAAGTTTGTCGGAGGCCACATTCTAGTCGTCTAATAAGGAAGAGATGAATACGGTTAATATCGTCTCTTACCCGCAATGTGCACTGCAAGCCGGCTGCGTATACACATCTCTCATACCAGCGATGTCTCGTCCCCCGACACCGCAGCCCAGCGCCGCCACCACCACAAAGAACGCGCACACAAACACCGCTACAACGCCACCTACTCGGGACGCGGTGTTGGCTTTCACACCGTCACTGCGACGATTGGAGAAACGGAATCTAAATACCTGAAGAAATAAACTTAGTTTATTAATAAATCAATAATTATACCTACAATATACTTGAAGTATTTATGAATGATGAGTTAGGCATTAAGTTGTCCTAAAAATCTATTAGAAACTTAGTTTAAAAGGCATCTGTTGCTGTTCCAACACGCTCATATAGCTGAGCAGTTACAAAGGGAGTTTAAGAAGGAAAAACTAGCAACTATAGTTGAGTTTCTTTGGAGAGCCCTGGATACAGTCAGGATGGCTACCAAGAGCAGTTTTTGTAAGCATGTATCCCAGATTACCCGCACTTTGCTGAAAAGGGATTATTCCGAACCGTCACCCCGCTTTGTCCCTACGTGGAGACAGATGAGAATGAAAAGTTTCATCCGTCCCATTTTTGCGACGTGGGGACGGTTGGAACTTATTTTATTTCATAACGGTTCCACCTGTCACCTTATTGGTGATAGTGGAACTAAAAGGTGGGACGGATGAAACGTTTTATTCTAACATGGGGACAGAGCGGGGTGTCGCTTGGGAATACTCCCTATAAAGCTGGGTATCTTATGAAGATTTCCTTCTCGATACAGAATAAAACATTAAACACTACTAACAGTAACAAAGAAGATGATGACAAGAGATCTGAAGATGTCATTGATGGCACGACTGGTGCGAGGGTCGTTGCGGAGGCTCTCGATGTGGTAGCGGGCTTGCACGTACTCCGTATCAAAGCTGATGAAGCCGAACAGACCAGCGTGTAGTAAAGACAGTGCCAGCGTCTGTAGCATCAGCGAACGGTTGCAGAGAACGCGACGAAGTGATGACAAGAATTCTGGGAAATTTCATTTAATCAGTAATATGTCTTAGATTTATGGGTTCAAGTAAATAAAATTAGCTTTAAAGAGTGCGCGCACACCTTTGACTAAACCATTATATCGCGAATCCTATGATCTTATATGGAGGTGGGCACACTACTTAATTATTAGTTGTGCAAATAAAGAGTTGAATGGGCTGCAAAACAATTGACTATCACACAACAGTTTTGTGATAGTTTAGACAAAGTTGTTTAGTTTAGGCTCTTTTAATTCACAAGAAGCATGCGTTGCTGACCTTTAACAAAGAGATAGACTTGCTTTTTTTGTTTCAAAGCGTACCAGTATCATGACTTTCAATCTCCTTGAACTGCGGCATTCTCTTGGGGAAGAGAGTGAAGAGTACGGAGAACATGAGGGTTAGCATGCAGAGTGAGAGATGAGCATGCCACCAGTCCGCCTCTACTGCGCCAGGTCGAAGCCAGCTCTGCCCGTTCAGGCCCAGGGAGAGACGGATAGAGATCAAAATGCCTGGGAAATACAAGAATCATGTTTACTGCTGTTCGCATATCAGAGAACAGAACAAGCACTAGAAATAGGGCTCTATAACTTAGTAGCTAAGGTCGGTTTTTAGATAACCATGATAAATTTACCATAGAAGTACGGTCCGTTCTGTGGCTCGTGGTCATCCAGGTACGTGAGACCGTGCGCCCAAACGCTGATCTTAGTCAGTGCGCAGAGCACCGCTGTCAGCACGAGGAAAGCCGTGCGCGCTGACACGTATGTATCCTCAGGTGTTGTCGACGTGGAGAAGTACGCAGAAATTGTACCTCCTCCGCATAATTCTGTAAGTTGAAGGTGTAAAGTCATACCAAGACTTATTTGACTAGTAAAGGATACAATCGAAGTTTTTCCATAATTGGTTTCTTACCAACTGCCAAAGGATGTGATTCCTCATATGGGAAAGCAAGCACGATTAGTCCCGACGCAGCTGTGATTCCTAGACATCCAGAGAGCGCCAGATTTCTCCAGGTCCTTCCCCACCAGCCTAGCGCCGCGCCTAGGATGAATTCTGCTCCCGCTGACCCTAGTTTTACCCAATCTGGAAATACACAGGCCTAATTTTAGTCCCTTTCCGCTTCTTCGTTTGCCACCTTATAATATTAGAAAAAGGTAATTCCTATAGTGTCCAATAACATAAACGGCCAAAATTATATTAAGTGAGGTTATTTCGTATAATTGTGTACAGTTGTATGGATTTTAACACCTTCATTAATAGAGCGTAAGAAGCCGGTGCCGGCGTTTCTTCTCAGCAGCAGGTAGACGTTGGTCTCCAACAGAACTACGATCAGCAACGCCCCCTGCAGGAACAGATCGAAGCGCGGCACCGTCAGGATGTATGTACGGAGAAAGTACCATAGCTTCTTGTACGCTGAGAAACAAAATAGGAAGATGAGGAGCAAGAGTAAGATGTACTGTACGATATACGTATGGTTACTATATGAAAGTAGAAATGAAAGAAGGGAGGGTTGATTTGACGAGACACACTCGACCGTTGTAACATCACGACCACACAGAGGAAAGGCATGAAGTGGTAGCTATTCCTTGTGTGTGTGTTGAAGGCCTATTTCTAGTTACTCTTTCAAAAACGTCCCCTTGTTTGCTAATAAAGATAGACAACGCTTCTACAACTTTTAACTCGTATTAGATGGGGCAGGGGCATTATTTTGTACAGCAAAATCTAGTGGCCACTTGTTCGTTTGCTAACTTCTATAACAACAAATATAAATTGTGTATAGACTTGATAGCGAAAATCAAAATTCCTTATGAATAGGAAATAATTATTTGATTTGTACTATCGAATCTAAAGGTCATTGTTTAAATACTGATAAATCGATAACCGATAAAAATTTATATAATAAGTACGTATTTCATTTATGATTTTGTATGTTTATCAATTCATATAATATGTTAGTTGTTTCTATACAAGATTACTAGCTTTCGCCCGCAACTCCGGCCGCGTGGAATTAAAGAACACAAAAGTAAGTAGCCTATATGTTTTTATAGACTATTCTCTACATCTATGCTGAATTTCATGAAGATCCGTTTAGCAGTTTATGCTACAATCTCTAACAAACATACATCTAAATTTTCGCATTTATAATATTAATATGATTGTGTTTATCAATGAGGTAAACAGAAACGGTGAAGGATTAAAGGAGATTAAAAAACCCTTCATAAATTTATCTCATTTAAGATTATAAAGATAATTTGGAATTCAAATTAACATGTTACTTTAATATATACATTAACAATTAATTCATTTAACACTGGTGTAAATATTCAACACTCACCAGTAACAAAAACGCACCCCGTCATTTTATACAATTCCAAACGAATGTGTCTTCATTAATCAGATACTTTGCCGTAATTTTTAAAAGCGAGTGTTATTAAATAAACAAATCAGAATCATTTTTTTGTGTTAATGCTAAAAACACTATCGGAATAACACTGTTACTTATTTTTTGATAATTACTTTAATCTACGCTAAACAACACTTTAAAAACACATTTTTCACACAAAACAACGCGTGTTTGTTAAATCGACTCTCATATCATGTTTGAAAGATATTTAGCGATATTTTGTTATCGCTGTTCATCATGATACGTTATTTTAGGGTTCCTCTACACGATATATTATAATAAAGCAAACCAATAAATGCGAAAGTTTACTTGTATGAATGTTTTTTAGAGTTCGATGAAACATTAGATGATAGTCTGGAAGAGCACATAGGCTGTTGAGTTTTTTTTAAATTCCACGCGTACGTAGTCGTGGGCTGAATCTAGTATACTATTAATGTAATCTATTACGTAAGCCGAATTAATGCCTTCGTCAGAAAATCAGTCTGGCGCACATAAAAGCAGTAGTCTAAAAGGGCCAGACTTGAATGTGGTTCGAAGGTCTGGCGCCTTGCAGCCCTAGATAAGGTAACAAACTCCATTTCAGTTGTCTATTTTAAAAACTGCCGATGTTATGAAGTCTCTAGAAGAGATATTTTATACGGAATCCAGTGGAATAATAATGTTTGCAGCCACTAGAGAAATGTCAATGTAACAGATAATATTTATCTGTGCTAGGCATAATAAATGTGAAAATGTATCACCTTTTCCTTATAAATCTCTATTTAATTTCATTCATAAATAGAGATTACTTATTGATTTTTTTCTATAACATCTCTTAGGGAATATTTTACATTTTTTTACAATAAACAAATCAAAGATGTTAAAGTTATAAGAAAAATAAAATAAAAAACACCAATTGCTGTTATTAGATTAATTTATTTTTAATTTACACAATAAATAACCTTAAAATTATAATTTACACTTACCATTAACAATAACATACTTCGTATCCGTAATTAACTAAATCTTACTAACAGTATAAATGCGATAGTTTAGATGGATGGATATTTATTGTTAGTAGCCTAAATTACTAAACTAATCTCGATGAAATTTGACGTTGTAGAGGATAGTCTGTAAGAACACGTAGACTACTTTCAATTTTTATTCCACGCGGACAGAGTCGCAGGCGAAAGCTATTAATTCATAAAGCTCATGTACTGCTGCAAAAGAGTTTTCACCATAAAAACTTACGCAACACTTTGTCATGTAATCTACAATCCTTTCATCAGATTCAAATACATTCTTGTAATTATAAAAATGAAGCTCGCAATATTGAATCTGAGAAAAGATGATTTATATTTGCCTAGTAGGCTAGTAATTTAGGATTTTTCCCAACCGTCATTCCACTCTGTCCCCACGTGAGCATAAATAGTTTCATCCGTCCCACCATTTAGTCTCACTATCACCAATAAGGTAACAGTTGGAACTGTTATGAAATAAAATAAGTTTTAACCGTTTCCTCCTCGCAAAAGGTGGGATGGATGAAACTTTTTATTCTCATCTGTCCCCTCCGTGGAGACAGAGCGGGGGGACGGTTGGGTATAATCCATAATTTAGTCGTGTACAGAGTAATTTAATAGTCAAAATACTCTCGTTTATAAACTTAACAAAGGGAGCCTTAACGACTGAGTTCGACAGTCATTTACCATTACTATATATAGTACATCTAATGAGTCTTTTCGATAGGTACAGTCGGTGAAATTGGCAGTGTTCCTTAAAATCTACAATCGTTTTAATGCTTTAAAACGAGACACGACACAAAAACCTCTTAGATAACCCTTTTAGAGTTAAGCTCACCAGTACAACTAACTTTCAATATGCATTTATTGAATGCTGTTTTCTTTATGTACAAAGTGTAAATAAAGAAATAAAAAACGAATAAAACACATAAAAATGTATCTGTACGAAAATTCAATTGTATACGGTTAATTTCTTTTATTTTTGTTCCTTCGTGCACTCATTGATATCTAATTAGTAATTTGTAGAAGAGCAATTTGTCTCGTTTCAATCAAAACATATTTCTTAAGTTGAACACCGCAGAATTCAGCGACTGTACTTTATGTTTGTGTTTCGCCGACAAGAACTACTTCAGCGTTGGCCGCGCGCCGCCGCTCCGCCGTCTTGATGCAGACGATGGTCGTGATGGTGATGATGAAAGCGAATACCACCATGCTACAACTGGTGATGGCCATCGAGTAGGGATGCTGCTTGTTGTGCAGGTGACATGTACCACCTTTCCACCAAATACAGTTTGCACCTGCATAAAAATACATTAGGTCCTCATATGGACTGCTTTATTTCAGGTTCGAGCTACGAGTTTATGAATGTCGGCCTTTAGTTGTTGATTTCAGTAAGGTGTGGTAAATAAAAAAGATTTTCGTTTCGGCAATATAAAGACACATAATAGTAATAACTATGTACTATAACTTTAAAACTCTCTTTGAACTATTTCATATTTAGAAATTCGGGTTTATCTTTCCTAATCTTGCTAATATTATAAATGCGAAAGTTTAAATAGATATTTGTTAGTGTTTGTAGCCTAAACTGTTGAATGGATCTCGTTAAATTTGGCAGAGATGTAGAGCATAGTTTAGAAGACACTTAGGCTACTTGTATTTGTTTTCTTTAATTCCACTCAGATGGAGTCCCGGAAGCTAGTATAACATAGTTAATAACATAAAGTTTTTACATTGTCATTCGGACGCCGGCGCTGCACGGGAACATCCGGTTTACATAAAATTATCACTTACCGCTCATTCCAATAAAGATGAGATGTCCGAAGACGAAGGTGAAGAGCGCGATGAAGGCGCCAGTCAGTCCGAGCAGCACGGACTTGTCGCGGGGCTCCACCGCGCGAAGCACAAGAGTGCCTTGCGCTTGGAAAGATAACGCTGAAAAAGGCGATATTAAGCCACTGGATGTTCTGCAGTTTGATATTAAATTGAATACTTACCAGCAAAAGATAACAGTAATGCGAACAACATTTGATGATGCTGGTAAGCCCCAGAGCAGGAGTTTGCGCTGCAAGACCCTACGATGGCGCGGTGAGACGAAGCGCAAGTGCAGTTGGCATATGCCCTGCGCAACGAAACAATAAATTGTATATTTGAGATCAAAAGCTCATGAAGCGCAGTGTATTCATTCCTTGGGTGATTATTTGTGCATTACCGATAATAAACTTTACCCCTTTACCCTGCGTACTGGTTTTAGGAAAAGTATACTATATAATTTAGCCTAGTGAACGCAAAAGTCTATAGTTCTACTCACTGCAGACCGTCTACCTCTTCTATACCAGAGCAGCCGGCGTGACAAGGTGAGACATAGGTCGTCATTTGATCCGTCACACACACAGGTGCAAACTCCTGCCATTGAGGGGCGCATCTGAAATAAATATGGTCGTCATGGTCTCACCGCAACCAGTAAATTTAGAAAGAAGTCAACGAGTAAAATGTTTGAAAAACATTAAGAATACTCGACAAGGAGTAGTGAAAAGACCTTTGGTACTGTAGAGCTCTTTGAGAAGACTATATTCGTAGTGGTCGTACCCGCAAGTCTGACTGCACTGTGGTTGTATGTAATGACTCCCCTCCAAGCCGGCTATGCTGCCCGTCTTACAGCTGGTCGCTATCATTAACATGACGTACGCAATGATGGAGAACAAACACATCGTAGCTGTGTGTTTCAGCACTTCGAGTCTGACCACGCTTGGCATTAAAGGCGGCGTGAACCTTAATCCCTTGTACTGAAAACAACAAACCATAAATCTCATCTCTCTATACTCCATCATACTATAAATGTGATAGTTTAGATGGAAGTTTGTGTTTGTAACCTAAACGGCTGAACGGATCGCGATGTAATTTGGCATAGGTGTACAGCATAGTATGGAAGAACACAAAGGCTACTCACTTTTGTATTTTTAAATTCCACGTCGACTAAGTTGCGGGCGAAAGCTAGTACTATATAACATACTGTAGCAGTGTGTAAACGTATACTATTTAGTTATGTAGGAAATCAGCAATTATAGCTATTCTTAAAAATAATCATCTATACTTACGACACGCTTTAGATACATATTTTCACATTATTAAACTCAGGGATAAACAAATTGGTAAAAATTGTTGTGCGGGAAAGGGACGTAAACTACAGTCTTCAAACCCGCTCTGTCCCCACGTGAGAATAAAAAGTTGCATCCGTCCCACCTTTTAGTCGCACTATCACCAATAAGGTGACAGATGGAACCGTTATAAAATGAAATAAGTCTCCTCGTCGTAAAAGGTAGGACAGGTGACATTTTTTATTCTCATCTGTCTCCACGTGGGGTCAGAGCGGGGTGACGGTTGGGAATAACAATGTTAACAACCTTTGTTGACATTAGTGCATTTGTATTTTGTCATTTCCAATTGAAAACAAACGTGAACAATGAAATAAAGTTTTAAATGATAAGCGGATAAAGACGCACGGGAAAAAATCATTAAAAAAAAACTTTGTGATTAGAAAAATATTTTAAAGATACTCACCGCAACAGCCAGGACCACAGCGTGGTAGCGTAACATTTCAGCATTATTAAATAAACCATTTCTCTCGATATGTAAATAGTATTTAGCCTATAATTAAAATAATGTAATGATTAAAATGATGTAGATTTTAAAAAGCTATTTGAATTAAAACAAAAAGACACAATGAAAAAACGAATCAAAAATTGATCTTTCGACGAAGCAAATATAACAGAAACACATTTAAACATGTGCAATTTTTAGCAATAAATGAAGAGAGCGCACTTTTGATTAAACTATCGCAAAACTGCTTTTCCGTGCTTTGATTCCTATTAGATTATAGGTTACACTATTCGATTTTTAGTTGTACTAAACAGTTGAATTGGCTGCGAAACAATCGCACAACCGTTGAGCGATAGTACTGTCAAATGTGTGCCCGCTTTAAATGCATACCCTAAGATAGTCTGTCTGATAGTAAGCGAAGCCCCAAATAGCAGCAGCTATCAGCCCCATGGAGACCATCTGCGTTGTTACCAACGTGTTGGAGAACACACGATACACGCTCGAACCAAAACCTGGAAAATTTTCTTAGTTGCTTTTGATGTGTTTATGATGTTCACAGTAATTGTTTTTTACATAAATAAACCAGCGCTTGACCACGACTCCACCTAAGCTAAGTGAAGACGCGACCGAAGGATAGAGCGTATTGAAGACTTTTGCACATGACTTCGTCCGCTATGGATTATAAAAAAATTAGCAATGAATGTAGCCTATATTATTCAGTAATAATGCTTTCTAATGGTATTTTTATATAGTTTCAACAGTTTCGGAGCCTATTCAATGAAAACAATCAAATGTGTCTAATTTACAATACCTATATAGATTAGAAAGTTAATTAAAAAGAAACTTAACAATTGGATTTTTGTATGCATTGAAAAAACTAAGAAACGTTAAGGCGGATTTCAATTCAATCAAAAATTCTTTCACCATTACGTTATCTCAGTAACATAGGCTATATTTTTAAATTTCACATATATGAAGTCGCGAGCAACAACTATTCTATTGTCTTCGTCACATCATAACTCACTAGTCGCATGTTTTTATGTATACCAAATCCCAAGTGCCCAGAATTAGGCTCGTATATACTTAGCATAAAGCATAATACCCCTTGACGTAGAAATTAGTAACGAACGGCGAAATCTCACTTGTATCATTCACGATGATTTTAGGTTCTTCCTCGTCAGTGAGTTTTGAAGTGCTCAAATAGACTTGTACACCGCTCAGTATCATGCCAATTGAGATCAGTAAAATCTGAACAGTGAATTTGGTTTCCACTATCGTCGTCATAACATTGTAACCAACCACGAGACTCATCAAACGGTACGTTGAAAGTACACCTGAAAATGCAAAGATAAATGTCATGATTGCTCTTGTGTCTATGGAAAGTCGGCACAATATGTGCTGTTCCACACATCTCTATCATATCTGAATTGCCTGCCTTTTTAAGCTCACCCTCTTTCACACAATCCATACATTCTTCTGTCTTCCTCTACCTGAGCCATCCACACTCTTAATACTTTCTTGTTTGAGATAAATATAGCAAAAGTATTATTAAAGCTAGTTTCAAATATATTTTGAATACATATATTCTTTCAATTCTGTGTATCTACTTAACTTATAGTTTAAAGTATAGATTACCAATTTTTTTTTATTACTTTTTTGGTTCACGAAATCATTCACTAATGAGTACACTTTACATCCTTGACGAGCCTTCATTGTTAATATTTTCGTGACCCTATTTACAACTCGTGGACACCTAATTATGTTTCCAGCGATCTTGGACCCCGGGTCTCTTATAGAGCTCCGTGTAACTTTGGGAATCACTGGTTTAAACAAATATAAAACTGACCAAACAAAGATAATTCTTACCATAATGCATGCTCAATCTCGCAGGTGCACGGTTATCCATGTAAATAATACCGTGGCAAAAAGCAATAACCCTTGTTATTCCGAAGACTATGAAAGAAAAGTGAATGATGGACAATCTAAACGCAGTGCTGGAAGTTGGTTTTAATTCTGGAGTCGTGTTATTGCCGTTACAGTACCCTGAAATGTTTTCAAAATATTCACTAGTGTAAATAATCGATACAAGCGCCATCTATGAATATCTTAATTTAATAAAGCGCCGTCTATTGTTAACTAAATATTTTTTATAATTTCTTGGTTGAATACAGCGCCATCTGTTGTCCACTAAATACAACTAATAATCATGACTTTTCAATGACAATTTTGTTTACATTTTTTTTTATAATAAAAGATTATTTTAATACACACCAATTCCTTCAGGTACAGCTACCGTGGGAACAGCAAACCACAGCAGACCGCTGGCGCCGGAGAAGAGACAAGCCACTGAGAGCATTTCGTGTCGCCGATTGCTGCCCAACCAGCCTATAACCGGCGACACTAGCGCCTCCAGTAACGCCAACAGAAGTATCAATAAATCTGAAATATATCGCAATATGTGAATGTTTTAATTCTTCGACTTTTCCAGATGTTTATTAAAGCGGGCGCACACTGTTGTGCGATTGTCGATTGTTTCGCAGCCACCTCAACTGTTTAGTTGCACAACTAAAAATCGATTATAGTGGTCACCATATAAGCTTAAAGGAATCAAATCACGACTAAACAGTTATGCGATAGTTTAGTTAAATGTTTGCGCGAGCTCTAAAAATCGTTGCAGTGGACCACGGCTCGTTGTTACTTCTTTAATTTTTTTTTATGTCATACAGAAGCTGTACGGGTATAGCTACAAACCTGGTAGATAATGAGGCAGGTCTCCAGCTTTTACATTCTGTTTGAGTAATCTGTAGGCGACTACTTCACCCAGCGTCACAGTTATAATAATACCTAACAATGTTCCGCGAAAGCCTTCCGCCACAAAAGTGCTGCTGAAAAGACATCCTTTGACTTTCGTCGTCACTGTAAAGGGAATGAAACCGTTATTGTCACTGTAGTTAAATATTTTAAATAATCAGCGTTTGTTAAATTTTTTAATGCCATTAAAGCCATGTACAGAGGGATTATCATGAATATTCGTGAGATCGTTTTCGTAATGCCATCCATTAAATTGGTCGTACGTACGTTAAAAAATCTCATACTTTTATCGAAATGTTCTCTTAATTCTTACGCAAATATTCCTGATAGTCTCTGTTTGTTGCAAATGTAAATATTTTTGTAGTAGTCAAATTTTTTCTTCATTTTTTTTTAAAAAAGGAAACAGAATTTAATATTTAGCGAATGAGTCATATTTCAATGAAGTTTTTGTTACATAAGAAGTAAAAAAAGATAAATTTTGCGATACTGAATGATAATACATGTTCGCATTTTTAGACAGAACATGACAAGATAGTGTATATTTCATTCACAAAAAAGTACACTATATACAAGGAAAAAAGTATAGAAAAAAAATTAACTTACTTGTTGTGTATTTAGAAGGCATTCTATATATCCTTTTAATTAAAAAAATAACTTTAGTGTATCTTTAGAATAACAATTACACTTTTCATTAACTTGCTTGTCATTAAAATTGTACTGCTGAATAAATCAGTAACAAATATAAACACTATATAATGCAATTAAATTATTAAAACTTTCGTGAGACATTTTATAATTAATTATTTACGGCTTACTCACGTATACTTTTCTTTTTCCGGTGACGGCACCGACCAGTTTCAGACCCTGGGGGGGACGCGACCGCGATACATCCTTAACCCTCGCCCTGAAGAAGGACCCCCGCAGGCTCTGAAACTGGTCGGTGCCGTCGGAAAAAGAAAAGTATACGTGAGTAAGCTGTAAAAAAAAATTACTATATGATGCAATTTGATTGCAGATATTCAGACCTTTAGAAATGTATTTTGTGGGAGTTAGAAACGTTTAATCTCCCGGAGATCTTGTTTATTCTATTTAAAGACTCATGCATAAAAAAATTATAAAGTTACTTTTAACTAGCTTTCGCCTGCGACTCCGATCGCGTAGAGTTAAAAAAAATAAAAAAATTCATAGCCTACGTGTTCTTTTAGACTATCCTCTACATCTATGCCAAATTTAGTGATGACTCATCATAATTTTCCTCCTTATTCTACTCCCGCAGGGCGCAACAAGTTTTTGTCCTCCACATAACTCTATCATACGTCATCTCAGTCATCACTCCCTTTATGATCATTTCACCTTTCCCGTAATCCATCCATCTCTCTGAAGGTCCAATTTTAGTTCCTTTCCACCTTTTAATTATAAGCAAAGGATGGGAGGGAAAGTGGATTTGACGGTAGAAGAGTCGCATAGGATGGGAAAATATTACGCGCATCTCCTCCTCCGTCAATGGAAGGCAACACAGCTGCAACTGTCGATGTCTATGGGCAGCAGTCGCTTCGCTATTTGGCAGATTCAGGTGGTCGCTTGCTTGTTTGCCATCTTATAATAAAAAAAATCTCTTTCTAGTTCTATCTATACTTGTGTACCTCCACACTCATAACTAACATTCTCCTTGTTACATGCGATTCATCCCTCATAACCGGCCCATACACCACCGATACCCATCATCGCCAGCTTACTACACGTCCCCACCGAGGGGCTCGGAGCCTACCCTAATAAGGGATGACTAGGCCATAGTCAACCACACTGGCCCACTGCGGGTTGGTTGACTTTACACATATCTTTAAATTTCTTCCCCGATACGTGCAGGTTGCATCACGATGTTTTCCTTCACCGTAAGAACGTCGGGTAAATTATGTACATATGAAATTTCGAAAAATCGAAAATCACATTGGTACAGCGGGATTCGAACCCAAGACCTGTAAGTCAAGTGTTTAAAACACTGAGCCACCGACGCTTTTAGATATAGTCTACTAGCAGTATAATAGTAAATATGTATATAGTATATTGATTTAAGTAAAGCCTAAAGAGATTAATAAAAAAAGTAAATAACTTAGTTTAATATCACATTAAAGTTCAGACACCTTTATCCGGCCTCCAATTTAAATAAACACTGATAACTTTAAGAACTATTCACCTTGCAAAAAACACAACTATGACTTGTGGAAAACTAGAGGAAAATTGTAAAAAAATTTGCCACCGTTGTAAATTATCTTTCTGATATCGAAAGATGAACTGACTTCTTTTGATCTAATCTTCAGTTTTGACAAACGTTGATACTTCATCTGTGAGCGATAAAACCGTGGGTTTACACTGTCAACACACATGTTTAGAACAATTTTATTTTATTAACAACAAAACATAATAGATCAAATTCTATTTATTTATAAGAAGAATATGGTGTTAATGCGAAAGTTTAGACGGATGGATGTTTACTAGAGTTTAGTTATAACAAAAAAATATTCACAGCTTTTTTATAGTGAAACGGTGAAATAATTTAATGTTATTGTTAATCTATATATATACTAATATTATAAAAAGGAAAGATTTGTATTTTTGTATGTATTGAAATAACTCAAAAACTACTGGTGAGATTTCAAAAATTCTTTCATCATTAGAAAGGTATTTTTCTGTGAGTAACATAGGCTATCTTTTTTTATTGTTATTTTAATTTCACGCGGGCGAAGTCGCGAGCAACAGCTAGTTTTTGAATAAAAGCCAATAGTATTACAAAATTAATTTATATTTTCCTTAAAATTATAATTTACAATATAATTTATAACTATTTATATAATTTTATACACTTAATAATGTCTTATTAAAAATAATACAGCATCACGTTCTTTTTAATAGTAAGTCTTTATTTTAAAAATCTGTCCACAATTATTTATGAACATAAGAAATCAAGAAAAAAATGGCTCCCTTGTGAACGATCGCATGTTTGAAAGGCAAATTAAAAACAAAACATTGAACAAGAATACAATAGGCAAAATATCTACAGTCCTTTCTAATATTAGGTACATACAAATAGTATTTATCGAGTTAATTAAAATACAAAACAAAATGTAATCGCGAAATTATAATAATGATAGTCTAAGTAGGAGTCGTTTGTACAAAGAAATTATATATTCCGAACTATACATAACCTAAAATACATCTAATAAGTCTTGCAAACTATGTATTTGATTGTCCAATTAGTTCGATCTGAGCAGTTCTCGCGCGCCGCCGCTCCGCCATCTTGATGCACACGATGGTGGTGATGGTGATGATGAAGGCCAACACCACCATGCTACAACTGGTGATGGCTATCGAGTAAGGATGCTGTTTACTGTGCAGGTGACATCTACTACCCTCCCACCAGATACAATTCATACCTGCCATTATACAAGAAACGCGTGATCAAAGCGGCGGTAGCCTAAGGTTTTTTTTTTATTTGAGAAGGGGGCAAACGAGCGACGGGACCACAAAGGTGGTCAACGACTCTCAGACATCCGCAACACCAGAGGAACTACAGATGCGTTGCCGGCCATTGTGGAAATTGTAGGCTCGCTTCTTGAAGGACCCTAAGATGTATTGGTGTGGAAATACCGCCGAGGACAGACCTTTCCACAACGCGGCTGTGCGGGCGGGTTTAAGCAATCAACTTGTAATCTACAGATGTTGGTATTGATTTTCGTATTGCATATGTACTTTTAAACAATTAATATAACTATAACTAGCGATATTAATTTAAACACTCCATTAGAGAACTCGCCAGAAATGAGCGGGAATCTAATGACATTGACAGCTGTCAGCTAGGGACGTGACGTTTATGCCGATTATCTAGTGTTGCGCCAATTCTACAGCATCGTACTAATTTTGTTTGTTAGAGTTTGTAGCCTAAACGGCTGGACGGATTTCGATGAAGTTTGGTATAAATGTAGTCATCTACATCTAGTTTTTTTCTAGTCTAAAAAAACACATAGGCTACTCATTTTTTATAATTCCACGCGGACGTAGTCGCGGGCGAAAGCTAGTGGGAAAATAAGCCTAAAGCGTTTTGTAAGTGTAGAGCATTTTATTACAAATTTAAATTACCACTCATTCCAATAAAGATGAGATGTCCGAAGACGAAGGTGAAGAGCGCGATGAAGGCGCCAGTCAGTCCGAGCAGCACGGACTTGTCGCGGGGCTCCACCGCGCGCAGCACCAGACTGCCTTGCGCTTGGAAAGATAGCCCTGGAATTAAAAATAAATTGTTAACGTACAAGAGTAAAGTAAATAAAATTAAATTTTTTCAGACTTTAAAAAACTTGCGACTTAAAGTATTGTTTTAAATTTTTTTTTTTTATATCATAAGGTGGCAAACGAGCAAGCGGCCACCTGAATCCGCCAAAATGGCGAAGCGACCGCTGCCCATAGACATCCGCAATTGCAGATGCGTTGCCGACCCTTTTCCGACGGAGGTGGAGACGAACATAAACAAGGATATTTCCCCTTCCTATGCATGTCCTCCACCGTCAAATCCACTTCCCCTTCCCATCCTCTCCTTATGAGAAAAGGGTGGTAAAGAGGAAAGGACTTAAATTAAGCCTCCGGCACCACACTCATCAGACAAAACACGGAATTGCTTCCATTTGACGGCTGTCTTCTGTGTGGTCGTGGTATTACTGGGGGCGTGCCGGCCCTGCACTGCTAAGATGTTAAAGCGGGCACTACCACTGTGTAAATGCTGTAATAATAATTGTCTATGAGTAACCATGGCAACCTTGTTGCTTTACTGCTATTGGCTTGTCCTTTTTGGTCCTTTTCTGAATGTTTTAAGCAGTTTTTACCCAATTGTTGCAACTTACCGGCGAAAGTAAAAATTAGTGTGTACATCATTTGGTGCATTTGAAAAGCCCCCTCGCAAGCGTTGCCGCTGCACGCGCCTTGTGTGGCGCGGCGGAAGGACGCACAAGTGCAGTTCGCGTAAACTCTGCAAGAAAGTCATACTTCTTCAGAGAAGTTTACTAGTTTTCGCTCGCGACTCCGATCAAGTGGAATAAAAACAAACAAAAGCAAGTATCCTATGTGTTCTTCCAGCCTACATCTATGTCAAAATTGCTAAACATTTAGCAGTTTGACTACAAACTCTGACAAACATCCATCTAAACATTTGCATTTATGTTATAATAAGTAAGATTTTACGCCGTAATGGAACATTTCTCGGTTTTGTATAAAGTAAAAATTATGGTAAAACTCACTGCAAGCCGTCGACCTCATCTATACCGGAGCAGCCGGCGTGGCACGGCGACAGGTACGTGGTCATCTGGTCCGCCACACACACCGGCGCGAACTCCTGCCACTGCGGCGCGCACCTGAACACAACGGTGTGACAATTACCCTTCATTGTTCAGGAGGCCTAATTTTAGTTCCTTTCCCTTTCCACCCTTTTCTGAGGAGGGAAGGATGGAAAGAAAAAGTTGATTTTACGGCGGAGGAGACGGATGGGAAGGGAGAAATGTCCTCTTTATGTGCGTCTTCTCCTCCGTCAATTAAGGGTAGGCAACGCATCTACAATTGCGGATGTTTATGGGCAGCGGTCGCTTTCTATTTCAGTGGATTCAGGTGGCCGCTTGCTCATTTGCCACCTTATGTTATAAAACAAAAAAAAACTAAAAATCGAGTAGTGTGACCTCCATAAGCTCATAGGAATCAAAGCGAGACAACAGTTGTGCGATAGTTTAGTCAAAGGTGAACGCTCTTTTAATTGCTTCTACATCTTGAAGATGACCATATACCTATGAGGGATGAATCACATGTCACAAGAACATTAGTTATGAGTGTGGAGGTACACCGGTAGAGGTAGACATAGAAAGAGATGGATGTATTGCGTGAAAGGTGACATGATCAAGAAGGGAGTGATGACTCAGATGACGTATAGTTATTTGGAGGACAAAAACCTATTGCGCCTACACTACGGGAGTAGGATAACGAGTAGGAGGATGATGATGATGAAGATGATGATGATGATGATGATGATGATGAAGAAGAAGAAGAAGATGATGATGATGATGATGATGATGATGATGAAGATGATGATGATGATGAAGATGATGATGATGATGATGATGAAGATGATGATAATAATTATTTATGTGTCATTTATTAAATTTAATAAGTACCCGCAGACTTGGCTGCATTGTGGCTGTGTGTAGTGCTTGCCTTGCAGGCCGGCCACGCTGCCCGTGTCGCAGTTCGTGATGAGAACCATCAGAAGGTACATCACCGCGGAGAAGAAACACATCTTGGCAATATGGGTCAGTAGATCCATTCTCACAATACTCGGCATTATCGGCGGCGTGAACGTCAAACCTTTGTACTATTAACAAGAAAATAAGTAAACAATGAGTGTGTCTTATATAAATAAAATCTTAATATTATAAATGCGAAAGTTTTGGATGGATGGATGTTTGTTAGAGTTTGTAACTTACTCGGCTGAACAGAATTCGATGAAATTTGGCATAGATGTAGAGGATAGTCTGGAAGAACACATAGTCTACTCACTTTATTTTTTTTTCTTTCTTCGTAGACGGAATCGCAGGCAAAAGCTAGTTAATATTACAAATGCGAAAGTTTAGATGGATGGATGGATGTTTTTTTCCATACTATCCTCTACATGCATAGCATACCAAATTTCATCAAAATTCGATCAGTCGTTTAGGCTACAAACTCTAACATCCATCCATCTAAACTTTCGCATTTATAATATTAGTAAGAGTAAGATGTACTCGAGTTACTTCTAACGAAAATCTGTTTTTTTTTATTTATTGTCGGTGTGTCCTCAAGACCGAGTGTAATTTGGCTTATCTCCAAAGGTAGTTTATATGTGTGCGGGAGTAACTGAGGCCATTATTTTTATTTTCTGACGAAATCGCAGCAAACCATTATTTTTTTTAAATTCATAAAACTCACCGCAACAGCCAGTATGACAATACTGTTTCGTAACAACTCGGCGTTGTTAAATAAATTACTCCTTTCCAAATGTATGTAGAACTTGGCCTGTAACAGAGGGAATTATTAATGGCCGGTTTAACACTTTTTAAAAAAATTAGATTCTTGTTTATTTACTAATGTTTCCTTTAAACAATCAAGTTTAGTTTCTTTAGGCTTGCTAGGATATAGTTTACAATAGTCGAATGGCGGGATTCGAACCCTCGACCACAAGAACGGTAGTCCGTTTGAAACCATTAGGCTATTGCCGCCTAATGGCGTTAATTAATCATTCGTTAGTTTTTGTTTTATTAGTTTCTGAACTACGTAACATGTTTACTATTTTTGACCGACTTTCCAAAAACAGGAGGTTCTCAGTTCGTCTGTGTTTTTTTTACTATTTCAGTCAAACGCTATTGAATCACTAGGTAATAATAAACTACATGGAAACTTCAGAAACCCTAGCTTAAGTAAATAAACATTATAGTGATTTTAGCGCATCAATACTTCTTACCTTTAGGTAGTCTGTCTGATGGTAAGCGAAGCCCCAAATAGCAGCAGCTATCAGCCCCATGGAGACCATCTGCGTTGTTACCAACGTGTTGGAGAACACACGATACACGCTCGAACCAAAACCTGCTTTAAGAAAAGATTCGATTTATTTCTAATAATTACAATCTTTAAATTAGCGGTCAGTTGACTAAAAGTGAGGCTTCCACAAGAGTCTCCCTTCATGGTCCAGCACTTGCCCTGTCTAAGACTAGCTCTCTAGACTCCATAAGCTGGGGAAAGTGCGCTCAGTGATCATAATATTGAAACTAAATTAAATCAAAAAGAATCGTGCAATTTTTTATATTTATTAGGTGGTAAAGGAGCTACCGGCCTGAATTCACCATCAAATCACTTTCCTTCCCGTCCTTTTCTTGTAATAAAAGGGTGGGAAGAGAGAGGATTAAAATTAAGCATCACAGCTCTCTCGGGACAACACAACAAGCGATCATGCAGAAAACGGACAATTACAATTTAGATCCTAAAATCTCAAAACTTACTTATTATTTTTTTAAAGAAAGACCAACAGCTATTATTGTACTCATAATTATCACAAATTATGATTATAGCATTAAATATTTAAATGTTTTCAGTTATTATTAGATATTACAGTAGAACCTCGATAAGTTAAAGGGAAACCCAAAATATTTTAAGTTATAGAGGTTTTAAGTTATCAAAGGTCTATGTTATAGAAGTTTTGGGCTCTGATAGGAAGGGAACATATTTTTTGAAGTTATAGAGGTTTTTAAGTTACCGAGGTTTGAGTTATCGAGGTTCTATTGTCCTATGTTTTCAAGAGATCAGAAAGTCAAAACTCCTAAAGGGAGTAAAATTTTAAAACAAACATTGTTCTTATTTTTGTTGATTTTTTTTTACAAAATTCTCTACAATTATTTCAAATTAATTTGACAACCATATATAATAAAAAAAAACATGCAGACGAATTGAGTACCTCCTTCTTTTGTCTGTCGGTCAAAAAAATCAGACCATACTTTATGGTTTTTAACGGTTGACAAAAATCGTATGAAAACCAACACTACCCAAAAGCACGGTAAGCAGGACGCCTTATTTAAAAGGATTTGATTATCCAACGACCATTTTTTAAGGACCTTTTGTGTCTTTTAGCAAAATCCCAAGCGTCTACACTTTAGTACTTATTCTCTGCCTACCGCTTGATGTAGTGGTGATCTTAGGAACGAAAGGCGAAGTCTCACTTAAATCGTCTTCGATTGTCTTCGGTTCCAAGTCATCGTCAGTTGCTTTCGCAGTAGATAAATATATTTGAAGAGCGTTGATCAGAATACCGATGGCAAGCATCAGAATCTGAATTGTTAGATTCGTTTCCACGATAGTTGTCATAATGTTGTAACCCACAGCTAGACCCAGAAGACGAATAGCTGTGAGGACACCTAAAAATAAAAAATAAATAAAAAATCCGCAATTTTTCAAACATAATTCTGTAAACTTTTACGCAAAAAAAGCCTTATTACGTTCCCGTTACGTTTTATCCCGATTGCCTTAGATGGCGCTCATCTCCCAGTTTGCTCCGACTTCCGGTACCTCGGCTCATTAATCCAAAGCGACGGCTACATTGACCGTGACGTGACAAATAGAATAAAAGCGGGATGGATGAAATGGCGACAGGTCACAGGAGTAATATGCGACCCTCAAATTCCACTTAAATTAAAGGGGAAAATTTACAAGGCCGTCGTAAGACCTGTCATGATGTATGGATCTGAATGTTGGGCAGTAAAAGGGACGGATGAAAGAAGACTACATGTGACAGAAATGCGAATGTTAAGATGGATGTGTGGGGTAACACGAATGGATAAGATACGAAATGAGTATATTAGAGGAAGTTTGAGAGTAGCCCCCATAATAGAGAAGGTTAGGAGTAAAAGGTTAGCATGGTATGGGCATGTTATGAGGAGGGATGAATCGCATGTTACAAGGAGAACGTTAGTTATGAGTGTGGAAGGGTACATCGGTAGAGGTAGACCTAGAAAGAGATGGATGGATTGTGTAAAAGGTGACATGATCAAAAAGGGAGTGATGACTGAGATGACGTATGATAGAGTTATGTGGAGGACAAAAACCTGTTGCGCCGACCCTACGGGAGTAGGATAAGGAGATGATGATGATGATGATGATGATGACGTTCCAATTTTACGATACAGTTATTTCAAATTACTGGATTCTTTAATATTTTCCATCAAACTTACCGTAATGCATGCTCATTCTGTCAGGTGCTCGATTGTCCATATAAACAAAACCGTGACAAAAAGCTATAATCCTTGTCACTCCGAAGACAAGGAAAGTGAAGAGGATGATGGACAATCTGATCGGTGTATTGAAAGTTGGATTGAATTCTGGGATCGTGTTATTGCCGTTACAAAATCCTGAAACAATTGAATAAGTAAAATTGTTTTTTCAAAATCCTCTAACCGGACAGTACTAAGCGCCGGACACTCGCTTTATTTGCAAACCGATATTGAGTGATTCACTGTTGAAAGGGAAGCGATATCTGTTAGCAAGACGTCATTAGCCCCGGACGCACGAGACAGCAACGGGAGAGGTTTTTAGTAGTTTTTGATAGGGAGTCACTGCGTCACGTAATATTCAAATAAACGCTACTATAATGTACTGTACAATGTATCTATACTATTATAAAAAAGCGTAAACACACACTTCTTTGTTGTCTAAGATGTTAGAATTTCAGGCCATTATACTTAGGGGGTAAATATTTTGGATAAAAACCCTAATGTGGGAAAGAGACCATAAATTGCTGCCAACATTAAAAAAGCAAGGTTGCCAGGGTTTGTCATCGTCATGTCATTTTGACATTGGCAATTGACACATGTAAACAATAAAATAATTTCGCAATTTCATGCGGATGAAGTCGCACGGGAACATCTAGTTTTTAATAAAGGTAGTGTTCCATTGGTGTTCATAATCAACCAACTTTTTAAAGAAATCCAACATAGGTATTAAATGCAATTAAATTATTCTGACACTCTGTCCTCTAGTACCAGACATATAGTAAGCCTCTAACACATAGTGAACATGATTTTCCTTGTATTGTATCTTTTTGTATGAATTATTAAAAAAAGATTAAGAAAGAAACAATGGTTAATCATTAAATCTAGCATTTTATCAAACTGTTTGATTTTCTAGTATTTAAATTCATACCAATACTTTCAGGTACAGTTACGGTGGGTAATGAGAACCAGAGAAGAGAGCTAGCGCCGGACACGAGGCAAGCTATCATTAGCATCTCACGCCGCTGATTGCTGCCCAACCAGCTTATAACCGGCGACAGGAACACCTCCAGTAGCGCCAGTAGAAGTATCAATAAATCTGAAAAACAATTTTGTAATTAGATCTGAAATACGTTGCATACGAAATTCATAACCTAACGACATACTTGTAATTTTTGTCTAATCTGTGTGGCATTTCACCGGTCAATTTACTTCAATGATTATCGCTTAATTTTATCACAGATGTAGTATATGGTTTATTTTTTTATTGCGGTCGAAGTCGCTGGCAACAGCTTGTAAATATTATACGGCTTGATGTCAGCAATCACATCATGTTTTGAATAATTCCTTCTTTAAGCCCTACACTAACGACACGCTTTAGGCTATATATTTTTACGGTATTAAACTTAGGGGGGTAAATAAATTTGAAGAAACCGTCATGCGGGAAAGGGACAAACACTACAAGCTGTTATTATGGTAACGGTAATTTTGACATTTGCAATTGAGACTTTGACAAATGTAAACGATAAAATAAAGTATTTAAAATAATTTCACGCGGACGAAGCCGCACGAGAACAGCTAGTAATACAATAAAGCATTACGACACACTGAATTATTCACAAATGTAAAGAATGAAATAAAGTTTCGGATAAGGATTCTCATGAAATTATAACCGCACGCGAACAGAGCATACAGAAATATGTCTTGACTAGCTTTCGCCCGCGACTCCGTCCGCGTGGAATTAAAAAAAAAACAAAAGTGAAGTAGCCTATGTGTTCTTCCAGACTATCCTCTACATCTATACCAATATCATCGGAATCCGTTCAGCCGTTTAGGCTACAAACGCTAACAAACATCCATCCATCCATCCATCTAAACTTTCGCATTTATAATATTATAATAGCATGATTATACTTTAAATGCCATTTATAAATGTAATGCAAATCTGTTATTACATACCTGTTATATAATGAGGCAGGTCTCCAGCTTTTATATTCTGTTTGAGTAATCTGTAGGCGACTACTTCACCCAGCGTCACAGTTATCGTGATACCTAGTAATATTCCGCGAAAGCCTTCCGCCACAAAAGTGCTGCTGAAAAGACATCCTTTGACTTTCGTCTTCACTGTAAGAGAAATGTAAAATTAGTTTCCACTGTGAAAACAAGTTTATAAAAACATGCTGACTATCCTCTTTGAAGAAAAAGAGACAAAAAAATGTTTTAACAACTGCAATTTCACGGCAAGGTTTTGTAATGGATTTTTCGTTACGCGAAAGAGATGAAACTAACAATACAGGTGGAGTAAAAGAGAGCAATATACTCAATTTAGTGCTTTGTGTAAATTAATTGCCTCACTTTGTGAAACATAAAATACAGTAATAATAATAATAATAACATATCTTTTTATTCTGAAATTAGATTAAATATAGTGACTATAGTGTTAGGAACAAAATTAGTACCGTGCTATAGAGTTGGCGCAACTCTAGATTATCGGCATAAACGTCACGTCCCTAGCTGACAGCTGTCAATGTCACTAGAAGTATGGATAGATTGGCGCGCAACCTGGCTCTGGACGAGAAGTGTTGCTCTGAGTTTAAAGCGACAGTATCAATTAAATAAGTTATCTAAAAATAATATGTCCCTAATTTATTGGCATAGGCCTTCTCCAAACTCTTCCACTGTTTTCTATTCTATTCTATATAAAATATATTACCTGTGTTAAAATCAGGCATCCTTGATGTAGTTATCAAAAAAGGGATTTAACACTGCTTCGAAATGTCTTTAAAAATCAGTCTTCTTGATACGTTTTTATAATGCTGCCAAATTCTGCTGTAACAGATAATATACATTTAATAAATAAATAATTTCGTAATATTACAATTATAAAACAGACGAATTGAAAGAAAGATATAATACTTTATTTAAAAAAAGAATTCATTCGGCATGCGCTGCGGTGTACACCGAAACGCCAATTTTCAATGAATCTTAAAACAGAACAAGGAATTTTACAGAAGTGAAGAATAAAAAAACATGTACTTAATATTCCAAGGGGTCACAATTAAAAAATTTCATTTAAATATGAGGAGAAATATGAAAAAACAACATAAAAAAACACTCAGATTGAAATTGAAAACCTGATGGGAAGTCGGTTAAAAATTGAACTAAAAGAACGAGGTTTTCGGAGCGCGGCCTTGCCCGGACAAGACACGGTTATTTTGCAATGAGTCATTTATAATGTTATCGTTGATAAGATAAATAATTATTTTGAGATAGAACCGCCTTTTATTTACACTTTTATTTCCTATATGAAACTCACGGAGGCCTCATACAAGATAGACCTACACTTTCGGCGTTAAGAATCGATGATCTAGGCCAGGGCTGGCAAAACACTGGCACGCGTGCCATAAAATTACCCATTTGAAAGATGAAATACCAAGATCACACAGAAAACTGTTCTGTGGAAGCAATTCCGCGTTTTCTATGAGTTTGTGTGCGAGCCTAAATTATATCTCTTTCCTTCCCATCATATTAGTAACGGATGGGGAGATATTTGTTGGGAGAGGGATCGTATAAGAAGGGGGAAATATTGAAAACTATCATGTCTTATGAGTGCTAGAACCTAAATTATAGGCCTTTGCTTCCCAACATTTTAGTAAATCATGAGGAGGGATCGTATTAAAAGGGGGAAACATTAAAAAAAAAAACATTTTAATCAATGTATAAGATTGGAACTATGATAAAGATAATAGTATATAAATTTTGTAAGTCATTTAATCACCTGAATGAAATCACCGATAATAATGGAAGTATATGATTTTTTAGGTCACTTTTGATTATAAGGCGTCGGTGGCTCAGAGGTTTGAGCACTTGACTTGTAATCTACAGGTCTTGGGTTCGTTCCAAATACAAATTACTGCAGCTGATCGTACGAGGCAAGATCCACGGAAAGCGAAGCGTAGGTCGAAGATGAACGTCCTGGCTCAAAAACCTACGCCAGTGGTATGGAAAGAGCACCCGTTCACTGTTCAGAGCCGCGGTGTCGAGAACGAAAGTCGCCCTAATGATCGCCGAACTTCGGAAGAAGATGGCCCTTTAAGAAGAAGAAGAATGTGATTACCGATTTTTCGAATTTCATATGTACATAATTTACCCGACGTTCTTACGGTGAAGGAAAACATCGGGATGCAACCTGCACGTATCGGAGAAGAAATTCAAAGATATATGTGAAGTCACCAACCCGCAGTGGGCCAGCGTGGACTAATGCCTAGTCACCCCTAACTTAGGGTAGGCTCCGACGTCCTCGGTGGGGAAGTATAGTAAGCTGGTAATAACAAACGAATCAATACTACAGATCGTATATCTTTAACATTACTTCATAGCGTAGGATGTCTGCAAACACAGCATATTTTTGGATAATTCTTTCTTTAATAAAAAACCCCACACTTACCACATGCTTTAAAATACACATTTCCACGCTATAAAGCTCAGGGGGTAAATAAAAAACCTTCATGTGGGAAAGGGACCATAAACTACAAGCTGCCAACATTAACGAAGCGAGGTTATTATAGTGACGGTAATTTTGACATTTGCAATTGACAATTTGACAAATGTAAACAAAAAAAAAATTATGCGTATAAGGCCGCACGGGAACAGCTAGTTTCATACAAAATATTGTATTATATATAAATTACAATTAAATAAAAATAATTTATCTGAATATATGATTACGAAAGTTTTGCTAAGTTTATCTATAGTTTTACTAGTTTTTTCCTCATAAAGCCACTTGAAAATAAACGTAAATATAAAATATTGATGATATCTTCTATCTAGATATGAATATGACGATTTAATTTTCATGCGAAAAGAATCGATTATGCGAGTTTTGTTTAAATCGTTAAACACGCGTTTAGATTTTAGTTAAGTTAATGAAAACTATTCCAACGTTATTTAGTTACATAGTTACATGTTCATTGCCACCTCTATAGGTTAATTAAAATTTACTCTTTGAGATTTAGTTAAAATATACTAAAAATAAAACTTACCAAGATAACCTAATTATTATAAAATTATATACAGTATTAACTAAATATGGCAGTGTAGAATCTTATTATATTAATGCATTTATTTAATTTGTATAAACAATTACCCACTGGCTGTAAACACTAAACACATTTGCCTTCTCTCGCTTGTTATAAAAAAATGTTACATGTAACAACGATCTGCGTCAGTCTACGCGCCAAAAACAATGACAGTATTGTTATATATAATTATTATTACAAATTCAGTTATAATCTGATTAACAGTATTAATAAATTTTATCTTTAAACTAGCTGATCCCGTGCAGCTATATCCGCATCAAATTTTATTTTGTTATTTTACTTTATTTTATATTTTTTTATTTATTTATTTAAATATTGTTTATATTTATAATATTAATTGTTTAGATTTGTAAAACTTTCATTTGCAAATATCAAATACACAATGACAACACCCGCCATTGGACCGTTACCATGGCAATCTTGCTTCTTTGTTGCAATTGGCTTGTAGTTTTTTGTCCTTCTCGAACGGTTTTTTAAATTATTTACCCCTAAGTTTATTAGCGTGAAAATATATAGCCTAAAGCGTGTCGTAACTGTAGGGTATTTTATTAAAGAAAAACATTTAAAAAATGCTGTGATTGCTGACATCTTACGTCACGAAGTAGTGTGTGTTTACACTTTATTATATTAGTATAAATATAGATATCCAGATTGTTTAAGGCGTAGTTACACAAACTGTCGCTGAAATATACATACACACATGTTGCGAAAATCATATGCGTAAATAAATATATATTCAAGTATATGATTCAAACTTATCGTATAATTATTAGATAGTTTTGTATTTTCATGATTACTGTCTCCCAAACAAAACATTTTCAAACGGAATTCTTTCTAAAAATAGTAATTTTCTCAGGACAAAAGACAGAAAACTCACTTGTGACTATTATGTCTATTTAAGACAACTGGCTGTTGCTCGCGACTTCGCTCAAGTAATATTAAATAATAAAAACAATAGACTGGGCTATGTTACTCGTTGATACCGTAACTTATTAATGGTGATTTTTTTAAATCGGCCTCATAGTTTTTTGAGTTATTTCAATATATACAAGAATACAAATCTTTCATCTTCATATAGATACAGATTATTGTTCATTTGAAGTGTTGCTGACTTCGAAAATAATGTTTTCGGAAATGTTTTTTTATACTAAAGAAAATATGCCAAGCTTACCACAGCCGAGAATTACATAGACTAAAAAACGTCACCTGTACTTTTAAATAAAAGATACAAATTAAATGCCAATTATTAGCTAAAAGCTGAACTAATCCACACGAATCCATATTCAAATACACTTATAAAAAAATATTTAAGAAACCGTTCACATTATCATACATTTTCTTCGAGAATCTTAACCTCCAATTTGATTTAACTATGTAGTTAAAAGACTGATTTTCAGTGCAGTAATGATCTATTCACGGGTATTATGTATTTGTTTCTGTTTTATTAATATTTTATACTATCTGTTGCCCGCGATTTCGTCCACTCAATATTAAGATAAAATATAACCTATAACATGCCCGTTTATGTCAACTAATTACCCGGAACAAACGCGACAGACAGACCAAAAAAATTTAAATGCGATTATTATTATCAGCAACGCAAATACATCTTTACGAAATCTGTAATGTTTCTTTTGTTACTACAGACACTACAATTTTATTATATGTATAGACAAGGCAGTTGTACCGGGATAACCTAACAATGTTGTACTATCAAATGATACTTCGAACTGTTACGCGTTTATCTTGCTGCCTAATTAACGGTAGTAATTACGCTTAGAAGCGATAGTTATTAGCTATGTCGCCATAGTAGATAAGTTCAGTTTAATTGCGAAAGAAAGTCAACAAGATAAAACAGTTCGATTTCGGACTGTGTATTAACCAGCATCTCGGAGTCTAAGTGTTTGAAAGGCAGTTAATGAATTAAATTCCCTTCTCACTTAAGATCGAATGTTATGTGACAAATTCTTACAATATCTAGTTAGTAATAGGTAAGGAATTCAGTCACTAAACCGTGTCTAAATAACAAAAAAAAATGTCTAATGTTTGTTGAGCTATAACGTAAAATGTGTTGTAATCGTCTTCGACTATAAAACAAATGATATCAACAAATGTTACGTGAAAAAATCGATATTGTTACAAACAATGACACTACGCTGGTCAGAACTAGGGTTGTAACGGAGGCCATTTTAACGGAAGCGGATGCAGATGAGGAGACAAAGAGCTTCACCTCTGCAGACGCGGAGGTCAATAATAAAATGGTAATTGCGATTTATTAAAGAAATAAAACCTAAAATTATGTTAAACCAAAATACAGACTGGTACATAATTACAAGATACAGTTTATTATGCAAATAATGTATAACAATTATAGTTGACAGCACGCCCGCGCGGGCAACATAATTGATACCTAACGCCCCACTCGCGTTAAATACGTAAATTAACTTCCGTTATAACTCTGGATAAGAAATAACGGGACCGGAGTGGAGAGTACCGTTACAACCCTAGTCAGAACAGTCATCGAATAAATCTAATGATACGAGGTATCTTACGTCTGTCACATCTCGAGATGAGGTAAACCATGAGTCATGAGTTATGATTCTTTTGTATGACAATATGATAAGAATAGTACTAGTCACACAAATAAGTGCACTTTGAAACCCAATAACAAATCTAAATATTTTAAACACGCAAATAACAACGAAGACCTTTGCTATTTGGCAGCAGTCTCCATTACTATAGCTTCTTTGTTGTTATTGGCTTGCAGTTGTCTTTTTCTAGCATGACAACTTTTTTCAATCTTATTTTTTACTAATCTTACTAATATTATAAATGCAAAAGTTTTGATGGATGTTTGTTGGAGTTTGTAGCCTAAACGGCTCACCGGATTTTGATGAATTTTGGTATA